AGGACGCGACTATGAGAGTGGGCAGACCCTTGGGCTCCTTATCTCGGGGATGTATACGGCACTTTGGACCTGGAAGCGTCGTAGAGAAGGGCTAGAAAGTCGGGGCTGGGGGGACGGGTTGTGGTAGAAGAAGCTCTTGTACCTAGGTTCATTCTGCTGGTGTGTAGCGTGTACCCAGGTTTCATCAATGAGCAGGACCGCTTGAGAGGGAGAGAGAGATACAAGGGTGTTGTACCCTCTACAGTAGGAATCAGTATTGTAGAACACCTAACAAGCCTATACGACTACATATATAAAATATATAGGTTGACAACTTTCATAATGCATTTGTCCAGCGCTGCGTAGCGCCGTGAGTCTCGTCGCCCCCGCAGCTGGTCAAACTAAACTAGACCAAACAAACGCGTTCAAACTCACAGCTGGCTACCGCTGCCTCTTGGTAATCGCAGCCAAGGGCAGTGCTCACGAGGTTGTGCGCCAGCAACGAAGGTTCTCTTCATTCGTCCGCGATCCATTCTTCTCGTCGGGGCGAGTTTCGCCGAAGTCATTTCCATGACTTCCACGACTTTGTTTTGAGCCATTAAAATTACCAGCGAGCGACCCAAACGCGATCTTCGCAAACAGTATTGAGTTGATAGGCGAAAAACCTATAATTGAGCAAGAGAGATGAAATAGATTTCAAGGGGGGTGGGATCAACCACGGTGTACAAAACCAATACCTACGAGATGAGAGTGCACACATACAAAATATTTAACATATCACAACTTTTACAACCCTATACACTTCCACTCCTACATGTATTCAAAACTATGAACCGTGACTTCACCCCTGCAGTTGCCGCCGCAGCCGCTGCCGCTGCAGCCGCAGCCATCGACGCAACCGCAGCCGTTCGTGGACTCTGGAGGTGCTAGAATTGGAGAGGGTGCTAGTCCTGGGGCTCCTGTCGTAGCTTGTCCCGGTGGGCTAGGGGGTGGCACCGGCGCTGGAGACGTTTCTCGTTCTGGGGGTGCTGGCATGGAGTGTACTGGAGGTAGCAGTGGTGCAGCTGGTGGTCCAGGTGTCGGCGTTGAGCAGCAGCAGCAGCAATCGCCGCCGGTGTCCTCCCTTCGCCTGCTCGGCCTTCCCTCCCCTGACCGCTCGCCTATGCCTCCCTCGCCGTCTCCCCCTCTTCCTGTTCACGGTCCTGTGTTTCCTCCCCCGGACTCGTCCCCGGCTCATTTCCCCTCTCGTTCCCCTCCTGTTACTCCTCCTCTGTCTCCTGACCCGACGCCTCCGTCTCACGTCTGGTCTCGCTGTCCCTCTTGTGCTCGTCCTGTCTCTCCTGTTCAGCGTTCTCACCCTATGTTGCTTCGTTCCCACGCGTCTCGTCCTCCCTGTTTGCCTTCGCCTCCTCCGTCGTTGCTCACTGTCGCACCTCCCCCTCTGTCTGTCTATCTTCGTGCTGCTCGTCCTCTTGTTCCTCGGGTCCTTGCCTCCCTCGTTACCGACCCGTCTGTTCCTGTCTCCAGTCTTGACGCTCTTGTACAGTGACGAAAACAATTGTCCAGATGTTTTGCATTATTGAGGGGTTTTGGGCTTTCTGACCACTGTGCATAAAGTCTTAATGTTTAATGGTGGTATGCTTTAGGAGGGGCACGTACTAGATGCGTTCACAGCACGAAAATCCATGATAGTACTCTGGATCTAACTTAGTGCCAAAAGATATGCAAAGAGTACATCCGGACAATTGTTTCTCAGGACAGAGAGCAAACTTCCGAGCAGCGTTTCTAGAACCTAGTCAACCGGCACTTTGCCTTGATCACCACCCGCACCCTCCTAGGCATATTATCTATGAGGTTAGTGCAAACATTTACAACGATCTTCTCGCACTCTTCCCGGACCCATGCTTTTGCATAAGGGGGTGAGCACTAGGAAAATTGCGAAGGATTTGAGCGTATGCAAGAGTATTGTGCACGATTTTAGATTGAATATTATCTCTAAGACTAGCCACGCTGAGGTGTGGCCAAAGATGCCATAAGTCGATTGGTCCCATCTTATCATGCACCATCTTCGTTGTACCATTGTAGGGTAAAATTATGAGCAGAGTGACGAAAACTAGCGTATCTGCCGCGAAACTTAGGGTAACATAGCACGGTCGACTGTGCATCATTGCACTATGAGATTCGCGCTAGGATCCGTAGGTCTCGTCACGGTGCAGCAGTCGAAGAAGTCGCGACTGTTCAGAAAAAATATCCAGGTTGAGATCTGGTGAGGAAAGGGTCACTCCAGCGTAACATATTCATGCTCTCCAAGCCATTCTAAGCCATGTGTCCCGCCTAGGCTTGGAATGGCTTGGAGAGAAAAGTTTGTAGCACTGGAGTGACCCGCTTCCTCACCAGACCTGAACCCGGATATACTTCCCCACCAGTCGGGGCTTCTTCGACTGCTGCATCGTGACGAGACCTGTAGATTTTAAGGTGATTCTATTAGTGAATGGGTGCACAATCAACCGTGCTATATTACCCTAAGTTTCACGGCGGACACGCTAGTTTTCGCCACTCTGCTCGTAATTTTACCCTACAGCGGTATGACGAAGACGATTCACGATAAGATGGGACTAATCGACTTATGACATATTTGGCCACACCTCAGCATGGCTAGTCTCAGAGAAAACATTCAATCTGAAATCATGCACAATACTCTTGCATACGTTCAAATAATTCACAATTTTCCTAGTGCGCACCCTCTTATGCAAAAGGGTGGGTCCAGAAAGAGTGCGAGAAGATCCATGTAAAGGTTTGCACTAACCTCGTACATAACATTCCTAGGAGGGTGCAGGTGGTTATCAAGGCCAAGTGTTGGTGGACTAGGTACTAGAAACGCTGCTTGGAAGATTGCTCTTTATCCTGGGAAATAATTGTCTGGATGTACTCTTTGTATATCTTTTGGCTCTAAGTTAGATCCAATGTACTATTATGGAATTTAGTGCTGTGAACACATCCACTATGTGCCCCTCCCAAAGCGTACCACCATTAAATATTAGGACTTTTTGTACACTGGTTGGAAAGCTAAAAAACCCTAATTAATGCAAAACATCCTGACAATTGTTTCCGTTACTGTAGTTGCTGTCGCTGACTTTGCCTCTACTCGCCACCTTGACTTCGCTACCGCTCTGGTCTTTGACCCTGTCTGTCCTTCGTCCGTTGGGGGTGCTCCTGCCCTCGGCAGTGACGTCTTGGAGGACCGGCAGTACGAGCTTGCTTTCCTGTCAGAGGCTGCTTCCCATCTCTGTTCCATGCTGCTAGTCCCTGAGGGTGACCCCGACGCCTTTGACATCCCGACCCCTCGCACCTACGCTGAGGCGACCTCGGGACCCTGGGCCTCTCAGTGGATAGCTGCCATGGAGCAGGAGATGGCATCTTGGAGGGCTACCGGCACCTACAGTACCTCAACGCAGTTCCCCCACCTGGGGTGAACGTAGTCGATGGCCGGTGGCTCTTCAAGGTGAAGCGCCCCCCTGGAGAGTCGCCTATGTTGAAGGCGCGCTACGTGGCTAGAGGCTTCAGTCAGCGAGAGGGGGTGGACTTCTTTCAGACCTTCGCCCCGACTTCGAAGATGACCACTCTTCGGGTGCTGCTACACGTAGCAGCACAGCGTGACTACGAGCTTCACTCCCTCGACTTCTCCACTGCTTTCCTTCAGGGCAGCCTATACGAGCAAGTCTGCTTGTACCGCCCTCAGGGCTTCAAGGGTACTTTCCCTCCTGGGACCCAATGGCTCATCCGGCGCCCCGTAAGTGGCACGACACGCTGCGTGCCACACAAGCTGACCAGCAGTTCTTGCCGTCCTCTGCTGACCCTTCGCTCTTCGTTCGTGCTGGCCAGACTCCGTTCTACATCCTGGTCTACGTAGACAACTTGGTCTTTGCTACAGCAGACAGAGACGCGCTGGCCTCTGTGAAGGCTGAGCTGCAGAGGCAACACACCTGCACTGACCTTGGAGAGTTGCGCCGCTACCTTGGCCTGCAGATCTCCAGGGACAGAGACACGCAGGCCTAAACCATCACTCTTATACAGCCACACATGGTGCGCCAGGTCCTTTAGAGGGTTGGTCTTCAGTTCTCCTCCGCACAGCCCACACCTCTGCCGGTAGACCAAAGGCTCTCAGCTCCAGTTCCCGAGGAGTCAGCAGAGCTCAGTGGTCCTTACGCAGAGCGGGTGGGTTGCCTTATGTACCTGATAACTTGCACTCGTCCAGATCTCGCATACCCTCTCAGCATCCTGGCCCGCTTTGTGGCCTCCGGCAGACACCGACCACAGCACTGGTCGGCCGCTAAGAGGGTTTTGCCTTATCTTGCAAGTACATCGGGAATGGGCCTAGTGATAGGAGGACGCAGGCCAATGATCCTTACTGGGCACACAAACGATTCTTGGGCAGACGACGCTGAGACCCTCCGGTCCTCCCAGGGCTACTGCTTCAACCTTGGTTCTGGTGCCATCTCGTGGAGGTCCACTCGCTCCTCGTCTGTTGCTCAGTCTAGCTGCGAGGCTGAGATCTACGCCGGTGCCATGGCGACATAGGAGCTCCGCTGGCTGACCTTCTTGCTTGCCGACTTAGGTGAGCGTCCTAGCTCTGCCCCGGTTCTGTACGCTGACAACAGGGCCATGATCCTCCTGTGTCATGAGCCTCAACTTGAGGGCAGAGCGACGCACATCCAGTTGCCGGTACTTCCTCGTGCGCGAGCTTCAGCAGCGTCGCCAGGCCCGCGTAGTACACTTGGCCTCCAATGCCAACACAGCTGATAACTTTGCTGAGGCGCTTCTGCCTGTTAGAAAGAGAGAATGAGTGGACTAGTGTGAGAAACCTAGAACATGTACCTGTTGGGGTTGTACTCACTAGAAGCACACACCTAGGTTAGCCTATAACTTCTACATACAGCATATGTATAAGTTGACACGGCCTACTGACCCAAACGTGATCTTCGCAAACAGTATTGAATTGATAGGCGAAAAACCTGTAATTGAGTGAAGGAGATGAAATAGATTTCAAGGGGGATGGGATCAACCACGGTGTACAAAACCAATACCTACGAGATGAGAGTGCACACATGCAAAATATTTGACATATCACAACTTCTACAACCCTATACACTTCCACTCCTACATGTAGTCAAAATTATGAACCGTGACTTCACCCCCCAAATTCTGTGTGCATAATTCTCATCTAGCCTTCTCCTCCCGACACCCATGCCGCAAGTCTGCAGAGTCATACCATAGTCCAGGCCAGTGTTAAACACCTACCATTGAAGTTGGCACACAGTACAGCATGGTTCTGCTATTGGTCCGGCCGCTCTCTCTGCTGCTCTGGCTGCACCTGTGGCCCTCCCTCCATGTGCCCCTCGACTCCAGCATGCCCTGTCCCTCCCCTCCCCAGCCCCCTCCCTTTCACAAGCCACACCAGGCATCGCCCCATGAGAAACACTCCAGAGAACCACAGGCAGAAGGACTCCGAGAGGAGAGACTCTGGCCGAATAGCCCACGCATACGGGCACACAAACCTCCCCCTCCCCACCCCTCTGGTGCCTCTTTCACCCTCACTCCCTCCTGATTCTTCCCCCTGTTGCCACCACCGCTGCTGCTTGAGATGCCTGGTTTGACGCCTCGAGTCGTCCCGGGCTGCCATGTATGGGCACATGTGGACAATCGATGCCACCCCGTGGGAATAAGGATCGTCTTTACCCGTTGATTGTACCTGATTCCTCGCTCCTCGTTCCACCCCTGTGCCTGTGTTGGCGGCGCCAGCTTGTGATGACTCACCAACAGCTTTGGATGAGTCAGTACCCGCTTGTGATGAGTCGGCAGCAATGGGAGGCGAGGCAGGTCCAGGGCGCTTGGAGCCCCAGGGAACGGAGGAGGAGGGTTGGTCCCACCCAAACCAGAGGCTGAGGGGAGAGGAGTCTGAGGAGAAGGGGTTGGGGGAGGGCTGCAGGGGAGAGAAAGGGGAACTCGTGGGACCTGGAGGGGGAGGGGAGATGGAGAAGGGAGAGGGGAGAGAGTGGAGGGAGTGGGGAGAACATGGGAAATAAGGGAGAAGCATGGACTGCAAAATGTAGGTGCCGGGTAATCAGAAGGATTTCTCAACGGAACAAGATAAGGAAAAGATGTTGAAAGCGGCGCTAGATTGCAAGCATGAATGTGAAAGATCATTGCTTGCGCACGACGAGTTTGTGACGTCAAAGGTGTCTTGCACCAATTGAGCCATTGTCGAGCGTGTGTACGTCCTAGCGTGATTACATAATGCTTGCATAACACCTACTTACGTAAAGTACTCTTACATCGAGTGAATGCCGAGATGTATTCGGAGAGGTGTGCTGCGGTGCGTGGGCCTCGGTACCGAATCCGAGTGGTGGAGTTCTGGAGGAACAGCGCAGGGACACTGTACACGCCCATGCGGGACAGAACGCTGGAGGGGTGCGGTGGAGGGGAGTGGGGAGGAGGAAGGTAGATGGGCAGGTGCAAGTGAGAGAGGGAGAAGGATGGGGTAGGGAACTAAGTTGGAAAAAACGCTCACTTTTGATTGCGTATTGCGTTTAAAAGCATAAAAAATACGTACGCTGGGTTTTTTGTCTAGATACGCCGAAATACGCACGGGCTGACCGGAAAAAAAAAACCCAAAACTTGCGACATTTTGCGACTTGGCGAAAAAAAATCTCGCCTTTGCACATCGCGCGGACTCAACTTCGAGTTCAAATGTCGAACCCTAACCCCACCAGCCCCCCCGTCGAACCTCTGTCCACCCCTCTCCACCTCGTCGCTTCCCAGTCCCTCCCAACTCCTCCTTGAGACGAGTTGGCCTCAAACAGAGTCAGCTCTCCTAGCATAAATTACTGCCATTTCAGCATTCAATACTCATTCTCGCAGTTCCCTTTCTACCGTAGCTTGCACGCCACCATGATTTCCAGCCCTACAGCATCACCCTCTCCCCCATCTGCTGAGGCAACCCGTACTTCCACCTGCCCGGAAAAAAAATTCCCCTGCCCGGGCCACCGTATTCTGTGCGTACCCGACCCCCTCCTCCCAAGCGTATTGCGTTTATACGCTCTCGTATAAACGATTTCTTATAAATCGCGATACGCGTATATTCCAACTTAGGCAGGGAAGTAGCGGCACGGAAAGAGGAGGCGCAGGAGGGGCAGATCACAGACAGAGAGAAAGGAGAAGGAGATCGAAAAGGAGCAACAAAATGGTTGGCGGGTTACACAGGACAGCAGAGAACCCTTCCTCCTGGGATCTCCTTAAAGCCCGGGAAGAAGAAGAAGAAGAGGAAAAAAAAAAAACAGAGAACCCTCTGAGGCAAGGTTGACATTCACCCTCCAACCTCAGGAGTCACACAGAACTCGTTTCAATCTCAACACCTCCTCCCCAGAAAAATTAACCTCACTGGTGGCATGCTCCCTAGGTAAGTGAGTTGGAGCCAGGTCACGGATTAGAAAGGGAGGCATACCAGAAAATCAAAGAGCGATAGCTAAGGGGTTAGGGCGAACAGCAGAAGACCAGTGCCCTCAAGCACCCTCACACCAAATTTCGCTACAATCATAGTGACGCCCCGAAATCGCAACTAACTTCACTAGAATTGAAGTGGATTGCATTCGGCCACCTTGGCCCTAGGTGGTTGACTGGTCACCATAGGCTAGTAAGTGAGTTACCTTGGCCTGAGGTGATCAGTGACTCACCCTGGCGTGAGGCATCTGGGTCACCTTAGATTGGTAAGTGAGTCACCTGGGTCTAAGGTGGTTGGAAGGAGAGACACCTGGGTCTAAGGTGGTTGGTAGAAGAGACATCTGGGTCTAAGGTGGTTGGTAGGAGAGACACCTGGGTCTAAGGTGGCTGGTAGAAGAGACAACTGGGTCTAAGGTGGTTGGTAGAAGAGACAACTGGGTCTAAGGTGGTTGGAAGGAGAGACACCTGGGTCTAAGGTGGTTGGTAGAAGAGACACCTGGGTCTAAGGTGGTTGGTAGGAGAGACACCTGGGTCTAAGGTGGTTGGTAGGAGAGACACCTGGGTCTAAGGTGGCTGGTAGAAGAGACAACTGGGTCTAAGGTGGTTGGTAGAAGAGACAACTGGGTCTAAGGTGGTTGGTGAGTCACCTGGGTCTGAGCTCCTTCTTGTCGATGGCGACGAGCAGCATGTGGGGGAAGAGCGGCGCAGAGGCTCCCAGCAGCACGCGCAGCTGTGAGGAGAAGGGGCACCAGTCGGTGTACACCAGCACACACGCTGCACGGCACACCGCCGAACCATGATGGGTCACACCGCTCTTGCTGCCGCTGCTGCTGCTCTTGCTGCCGCTGGTGCTGCTGCTGACGGTGCTGCTAGTGCTGCTGGTGGTGCTCGTGGTGGTGCTGGTGCTGGTTACAGAGTTACTCTTGCTGTTGCATTTTCCTTGGGGACCGGTGTGGCTAGGGCAGGTATGGGGGAGATCATTGGGGGTGTGCTCGGAGTCTAAGGTTGAGGGGGGGGATGTGGCAGGAGGTGCGGAGGTGGGCGGAAGGGAGAAGGGAAGTGCGAGCGGAGGGGTTGCGGAGGGGGAGGAGGACGAGGGAGAAGAAGGGGTAGAGGCGGGAGACGAGGAGGGAGAAGAGGGGGGAGAAGAGGTGAGTGCTGTGGGGTTGGAAGCGGTGAGAAGCTCAAAGAGGCGGTTGAGAGTGGTGGCGTTGACCTGAGGGAATAGGCGTGGGGGGAAGAAGGGTCGTGAAAGCAAAGACTGAAGGAGGTTGACAGTGGTGAGTGAGAAGGGGGATCAAAAGCTCAGAAGCGGTCACACATCTCACCTCTATACAGTCACACATCTCACCTCTACAATGGGATCATCTCCACCGAATTGCCTGAGCTCCGTTTCGAACGCATCCCACTGTGAAACGGCCGTGACTCGAGATGAAACAAGCTCCGATGGAGATGAAACGGCCTCAGGCTGAGATGAAACGGGCTCAGATTGAGATGACACGGCTTCCGGTAGAAAACGAACTGCGTCATCATGACCTTCCGGAATCGCGTCAGAAAGTCCTATTGGCACGTCAGACAGGGTGGCGGATGCTGGAGAGTCATAGGTGGAGGTAGCAGTGGGAACGGCGGCGAGAGCGCACAACACGGAAAGGACGACGAAAAGGCGACGATTTGCCATGATGGCTCGACCGTCTTGTACCAATGGCTTCTGGATCCGAACGCGACGCAGTTCGTTGTTGACAGTTGACGAGCATTTCGCGGACGTGTTCTTTTCGCGGAATTTCGCGCGACAGGAAAAAAGTGACCACTGAGTCCGTTCAGCAGGGTTGCTGCAGTGGCGGGATTCCCTATGCTGGAGCTCGTCTTGCTGGACCTCCAAGGGCACCTCTGCTGAGTACATATTCGTTGGAAGCATGTCGTAGCGAGTGGTTAGGAATGCTAAGAACGCAATTCTGATGCAACCATGACATCTACACGCAACTATTTTTGGGTTGCGTAGCAACCCTATAAAATCGGTTTCACGTTTAGGAGCATTGATACGAACATTAAAATTTTTAAGAATTTAGTTAACTGTTCAGTGCAACTCCAAAATATGAATCCAAATGTCCAAAGTGCTCCATCGCGTCGATAAGTACGGCGGATGGAACAATCAGACCGCATGACACATTTCAACAAAATTTTATGTATAATTAAACATCCTGTAAGATTGCAAATGCCAAAAAACGAGTGCATGTAGGCATTAGTAGTGTTGCACTAGAGATTGATGGGGTGCACGATGACAGCAGAGCTGCCCCAGACACGATGACAATCTCTAATTGCAACACCTAGCCTATAAGCAGCACGCTCGAGGCAAACACAATCCAAATACACCTCGTGCCAGCCAACCCATCTCGTTGATAAATACGGTGGATGGAATGAACATGTATGTGTTAAAATTATATAAGTTATAATTTAATATAGGCTTGGTAGGTTGTTACTGAACCTTTCTGTAGAGGGTACAATCCCCTCCTTGTACTGCTCTCTCTTCCTAATCCAACCCCTTCTTTCTCGTCAACTTTTCTCCTCACGCTCCTAGATCTACTTTCCTCACGGCATTCCATGGCGGCCTTCCTAGTATCCTAGCTAAGCTAGGTTCCTAAGTTTAGTTAGTGTCATAAGGTTCTTTGAGAGTATGTACGATAGGATTGAGAGTGCTACAAAACGATTGCATATATGCATCAATGCTGCAACAGAGATTGAAGGGGTGTGCGATGACAACAAAGTTGCCCAAGGCACGATGACAACCTCTAATTGCAACACCTTGCATATAAGCAACACGTCCGAAGCAGACACAATCCACGCCTTATCACATTTGCAGCCACACGCACTATGCACATAGAGACTAAGAGCAGCAGACACACCCCGAAACAGACAGTATTTATCAAACCCATGCACACCCCTCTCATGCAAACAACAATCAAGCAGACACATGCAGCATCGCAAATAGCCTAATAGTTGGAGTCCCCTATATCCAAATCCAAGAACAGTAATAACGTCGTGCAATCACAAATTTGTCCCCGCATGATGTTCCAACAAGCAATAGAAATTGGTGTTGGAAGATGTTCTTTGTCTTGCGGCTGGAACAGACAGCGCGTGCTACACGACCTGCACAGTACATCAGTGAATCATAGAAACACAACATACGTTCAAAAGTGGACCACATAATTTGTTAATTTGTTTATATGCACTCATGGTGTTAGATATTGCATTTGGAGTTTCAGGTTTAGTGCGGAAGTACTACATGGGATGGAAGGGAGGAAGAGAATAACAGAAGGGGAGGCAGAAAAAAAGGGCAGTATGGAGAAAATTATAGACTGAAATTGTGGGGACGCTGGTGATGACCTATGTGGTACCTAGGAATGAATGAAGGGATGGAAAGAGGAGCAGGAGAGGTTAAAAGGAGGGGGACATGCAAAAAAAGAATATGTGGCATGAGCAAAATGCCATAGCAGACGGCGCCAGCACGCACGTCACCAGCACAGACCGGGCCAGCGCGGGCAGCGCCAGCTCGCACGGCATGGCATGCTATGCCCATACATGCATACAGCCAGGCACGTTATGCACATACACGCATACAACTAGGCATGCTATGCCCATACAGACATACATCCAGGGACGCTATGCCCATACATGCATACAGCCATGCATGCTATGCCCATACATGCATACAACTAGGTATGCTATGCCCATACACACATACAGCCAGGCATGCTATGCCCATACACACATACAGCCTGGCATGCCATGCCCATACACACATACAGCCTGGCATGCTATGCCCATACATGCGTACAGCCAGGCACGTTATGCACATACACGCATACAGCTAGGCATGCCATGCCCATACACACACACAGCCAGGCATGCTATGCCCATATACACATACAGTCAGGCATGCCATGCCCATACACACACACAGCCAGGCATGCCATGCCCATACACACATACAGCCTGGCATGCTATGCACATACATGCATACGGCCAGGCACGTTATGCACATACGCGCATACAACTAGGCATGCTATGCCCATACACACATACAGCCAAGCATGCCATGCCCATACATGCATACAGCCATGCATGCTATGCCCATATACACATACAGTCAGGCATGCCATGCCCATACACACACACACAGCCAGGCATGCCATGCCCATACACACGCACCAATCAATGTTGATAAGGTCGCGGCACATCACGTTGCCCACTACTACAAGGTTGAATGCATTCACCTGAGGTGGTGAGCAGACACGGTAGGGACAGGCAGGGTAAGGAAAGGAGGAGGGTGTGGGGCGGAGAAAAGCCAAGCCACAGAATGTTGCATCGAGTCACACTGCTGGCTGCTGCGAGGTTGAAAGCATTGACCTGAGAGGATGAGGTGAGACGCGGTAGGGGCAGGATCGGGGAAGGAGGGAGGCGTGGGGCGGAGAGAGGAGATAGGAGAGAGGAGATAGGAGAGAGGAGATAGGAGAGAGGAGATAGGAGAGAGGAGATAGGAGAGAGGAGATAGGAGAGAGAAGATAGGAGATAGGAGAGAGGAGATAGGAGAGAGGAGAGAGGATATAGGAGAAAGGAGAGAGGAGAGGGGAGAGAGGAGAGAGGAGAGGGGAGAGAGGAGATACGAGAGAGGGGATAGGAGAGAGGAGAGAGGAGACAGGAGAGAGTGCACGGCACCAGCGCGCACGGTGCCGGCGAGCACGGCGGCAGCCCCGGCGTACACGGTGGCAGCACGCACGGCGCCAGCGCGCAAGGCGCAAGCGCGAAACGTGCCAGCGCGCAAGGCGCAAGCGCGAGACGTGCCAGCGCACACGCCAGCGCGAAACGCGGCAGCGCGCAAGGCGCCAGCGCGAGACGCGCCAGCGGGCAAGGCGCCAGTGAGAAACGCGCCAGCGCGCAAGTCGCCAGCGCAAAACGGGCCAGCGTGAAACGGGTTACGGGCTCCGCGCCAGGTGGCAGTTATGCATGATACTAAGGGAAAACAGTTAGTTTTGAGTTAGGACTAGGTATGAGCAAGGAAGTCAGTGTGAGCAAGGACTAGGCATGAGCAAGTACTAGGCGTGAGCAAGTACTAGGCGTGAGCAAGTACAAGGGGTAAGCAAGAACTAGGTGTAAGCTGTTGTGATATAATTGATACTTAGCATTTCTGTAAGTCGATTAAGTGTAGTTAGTGTCGAATCATACTGTAGAAGATAAGTCCATAGAATGACGTCAGCAAATAGCGCTCGTCGTAGGACAGTCGTTTCAGTCACGCGAACAGTCGCACCTCTTCATTGTCATCTAGGGCGCATAGCGCGATAGTGACGAAAAGGTACATTAGCGAAAAGGTACTTTTCCTAGTACTATAAATCCTTGTTAGGTATTTTCATGATTAACTGTGATTAACTTTGATTAACTTTGATTACTCACAAGTTCACATGCTCAGGTTATTCAACCTTGACCTTTTACATTTTACAAGTCTTCCGCTGTCTTACTAGTCTACCATTCCAGCAAAGATCCTGGACCAACACTTGAGGATTTGCCAAGTGTTCGTGTTTATAGTTTTATACTTAGTCTACTACAACATCAGTCGATTTATTTCATGGTATGAGAGCTATCTGGAATTACGACTATCGTCAACTATGACTAGTTCAACTCCAGCACCTTCTGCTGGATCAGTTACTGGGACTACTGGAGCACATGCCTCCACTACCGCCGCTGGTCTCTCAGCCTCTGGGCATTTTTCACCAGCCTACGCTAACATCGGTATGCAAAAGCAGATTCCGCCTTCCGTGAATACTCCAGGTGCTCCATCGACTGCACCTGCAACGCAACAGCAACAATCACAGACAACAGCACATCAACAAGTGTCAGTACAGCCACCATTTTCAACGCAATCGATTTCATCTGCGTTCAGTGGAATGAGCCTTGACGGCTCAAGTTACATGCGTGGAGCTACAACTCCAAATACTGGTTCGTTCGCTTTCTCACCTTTCGTACAGCAGCCGCAGTCGCAGCAGTTTCAGCATCCCTTTTATATCTTCGGTCGTTCCCCTGCTCAGCAACAACAACAGCAGTATCAGCAACCACAGCAAGTACAACAGCAACAACAGCAACAACAACAGCAACAGCAACAGCAACAACAGCAACAGTAACAACAGCAACAGCCAGGCATTGTTTTTCAGCCTCCAAATTTACTCAACAATACTCAGATCAAGACAACCGTACCTTTTAATGGTGTTGACTTCTACTCCTGGAGCTTTGAGTTTGAACTTCTAGCGCAGTCCGCTGGGCTATGGTCGTTCTTCACTGGCGAATTTACGTACCCTGTCGTGGGAACACAACTGGAGCAGCAGAGTTTTTTACACGCCTCTCTCGGGGCGTATACAGTTCTTGTACGGAACTTGTCGCCGAAAGAGCAGCCCGTCGTTCGATCATTTCACTCAAGTTTCACACCAGCCGAAACTGCATGGAATCATCTGAAAGGTGTATACATGGCAAAGGATACGATAACAGTGAGTAAAATACTTTCGCAACTGACAAGTGTGCAGATGATGACAAACGAAAACGTCTTGGACTACGTTAACCGTGTCCGTACACTACGAGATCAACTGGAAAAGAGCGGAGGATACTTCCCTCGTGAGATGTATCTTACGGTACTTCTGGCTGGTCTTGGACCCGAATGGCGACAGACGCCCGCCTTCCTGCGCATGAACCCTAACCTCTCCGAAGCAGAAATTTCTTCTTATCTTCAAGCAGAGCAGCAAGATCTTGACCTGCAAACACAACGAAATCAGAAAAAGGGGCTTCATTTAAGTTTTTTCTCCAATCCAGAACACCAGCATCGACATCCACCAAAGTATCTGTTCTGCCATTTCTGTAAGAAACCAGGACATACTTACCAAAACTGTCGCAGCCGTCATCAAATTCGTCGCAGTACTTCGCAGCCGTATCACCGATCGCAGCAGTTACAAAAGACACAACAGCCACAGCAGCAGTTAACGTCTCAGCAGCAGCAGATGCCGAAACCGTCGCAGAATTCATCAACGTCGCAGCATCGCACACCGGTCTTCGCATCTGCCACATCAGGAAAAGGAGTTTTCGGATGTGTTACAACAGTTGATGTTTCAGAAACAGATTTCGAGACACGACTTGAAGAAACCACAAGTGCTGAAGGTATTCCTTTACCTCAAGTTTACGCTAACCTCGCTCGAATAATTTCAGGTCCGAATACCTGGTACCTCAACAGTTGCTGCGGATGGCACATGTGCTCAGCAGAAACAAGCTTCATTACCAATCAGCGTTCACTTCGTCGTCCGATACCTGTAACAGTTGCAAACGGACAAACCATAATGGCACGAGCAGTTGGAAGTGTCATGCTCGAATCTATCGACACGTGATACTCACTTCATGTTACTAATGTTCTTATCGTCGCCGGTCTTGGCTTCAACCTTCTTTCCACGGCTCAACTCCTGGCACACAAAATCCACACCCAAGAAAATTGTGAGACGATGGATCAAGAGCTCTGGCACAGTTCAACGAATACTTATCTTGGTCGTGCCGCCACTCAACATGGGGCGTATCCGTTCTTCGATTCGCAGCACAAGGAACTTCTGGTGATTCTGAACGCGTGCTTGCACTTGGTCACTGGGATCACCCAGAAGAAACAGATTATCAACATGTGGACATTGACTTCTGAGCAACCACTGTACCAACAACTTCTCAAACTGCAGCCGCCGTACTCACCGCGTTGGATACCTGGGAGTTCAATACCGCCGATGAAAGCGCCACCGCGTGGCGAACGTTTTATAACACCCGTGCAGCCTTCCAAGGAACTCCAGCACCACTTTGGGGAGAGATAAGTGGTCTTGCAGCCGATGAACCAGACGTCGTTGGAGAAGCAGAACAGGAAGCAGTAGCTGAGCAGCCGAGTCCAACAGTAGCTGTCGCCGAAACACCTGCCACGACATCAACAGAAGTTGCATCAAAAGTTGTGATCACAACTTTAGCCCCACCAACGACTGTTCCATTACCACTTACACGTTTCGTTTAAGGAGATGTTGACCGCTCACCCGCGCTATCTCCTTTTCTTATTTCTTCTTTTTATACTAACTTCGATTTCTACATGCTATCATCAGGACACAAAGCCACAAAAGATATATGGCATCAGCGGTTAGGACACCCATCACAAGGGATTCTTAATCATTCAATCCGAGCAGCAGTTCTTGATAAAAATAATTTACTTTTACCTGATGGCACGGAGATGAAGCCGCAATCTCGTCCGACGGTTTGCACCACTTGTCCGGTTGCCAACCTTACGCACGATCCGTTTCCCAGTCATTTTCCTGGCTCAACTCGTTATAAACTGATGCAGAAAGTCTACAGCGACATACTCAACTTGTCTGAAGCAGGACCTAAAGACGAGAAGTATGTGATAACTTTCATCGAAGCGTCTACACGATATGTCTGGACAGCAAACTTACCTGCGCGCCATCTAGCTCACTCTGTCTTCATCGCGTGGCTCGCTGTCGCTGAACGAGAGTCCGGAGTAAAACTGCAAGAATTTCATAGTGATGGTGCAGGGGAGTACACCAGTAACAATTTCACAGAGTACCTACAGACACTCGGCATCAAACGGAAGCAGTCACTGCCTCATGCACACCAATAGATGGGGGTAGCAGAACGGATGAACAGAACTCTGCAGGAGAAGATGCGTGCTCTGCTGACGCAGGCAGCCCTTCCACCGCATTTTTGGCCGTATGCGATGGACCACGCCGTGCTGTTACACAGTCTTCTTTCTTCAACGTCCCTGCCCGCGTTCTCTTCTCCACACCTGCAGTGGACACGTACAGTGGGGAGCACAAAACTTGTACGAGTTTTTGGGTGTGTTGTACAGTTTTGCCCTCCAACCGCAGCACTCGGAAATTTTTCCGAACGAGCAAAATGGGGGGTACATCTCGGCATCGAAAAACAGTATCACGCGTGGAAGATTTTGGATCTTTGCTCCAATCAAGTCGTTCCATCATGTGATTGTCTTTTCTATGAAAGACTCACCTTGCCCGTTTTTCGTGCCCACCAGGCATCAGCTGCCAATCCTGCCAGGCTGTTCGAAGGCTCGCGTGCATTTGCAACTGACGAGGCCGAAGCTGATGTACAGGACGAGGATGTTTCTGAAGCTTCCGAAGCTGCCGCAACATACATTCCCGAACCTGTCACTTCGACCGGCATACCTGAATTCATTCCTCTTGCCGACGCTGACCAGGATGATGTTCGCGAAGTTCACCTCAGTTACGAACGCGATCACCAACAGCAGCCGATGCCCATCGTCTCCGACGAAGCAGTTCGTGTTACACCTGACAAAATTGGGGGGGAAGAAGGACCAGAAGAAAATTTCGCAGGTGCAAACGAAGAACGTCCGCGCTTTACAGAAACAGGATTACATATACTGGGGTTCGCAGTCGCAGTATAGTTCAACGACAGTAAAATACCTGAACCGAAAACCGTTCGTCAAGCTCTTACAAGTCCTCATCGAGAAAAATGGCGTGAAGCCATGGACAAGGAGCTAGCAGCAATCAAGAGTCGCGGCACATGGGATTTAGTACCGACTTCAGAAGTAAAAGAGAAGAAGGTACTTACAGGAAAATGGGTCTTCTGCGTCAAGACTAATGCAGATGGGTCGTTTGAGAAATTCAAGGCGCGATGGGTCGTCTGCAGATTTGAGCAGACTTACGGCATCAACTACGAGTTAACTTTTGCTCCTGTCGGCCGACATACAAGCGTTCGGATTCTACTTTGTGTCGCCGCTTGCCGTAATCTCCGACTTCGCAAATCGACGTCTCGAATGCGTTTCTCAACGCGCCTGTCGATGCACTTATCCTGGTAGACTACCCGCATTCCTATACTACTAACCCACCAAGCATTTACCGTCTCCGAAACAGTCGCACAGTTTCTTGGTCTGAACATTACCTGTTCACCGACAATTATTCATCTCACCGCTTCTAAGTATGCAGCAACACTCGCTGCCCGCTTCAATCTCACACCTACTGCAGTCTCTACACCGTACCGCTCACTACCGACTGACCACAAACCGAATACCGCACTGTTAACTTCAACCGGTTTACAGATCTATCAATAGCAGCTAGGCTGTCTACTCTTCGCCGCTGTCACTTGTCGTCCCGATCTAGCCTACGCGGCTAGTCAGCTCGCTCAGTTCCTACGCCGTCCTTGATAAATGTGTAGTATTCTGTGGTGTAGTTTGCTCTAGCTGGTTGTGGGCTATTGGGTTTTGGGCAAAAGAACTTGGGTTGGTTGGCAAGGTTTGAACTCGTTACCTTTCCAACCCATACAACCTCAAATCCACTACAACATCTTTGATGTTGCAGTCATGGCACTTGAGAGTGTTGGGGTTTGGTCTAGGGCAAGGGTTGGTGGTGTTTGACAATCACATACTGCAACTTTTCCACATCGAACTGCTTCCCTTCTCGTTTTTACTAGGTGATTCATGGCTGCCTAGCCAAATTACCAGAATACCCCCTCACACAGATTTCGTCATAATCGGCGGCTCAAATCTTGGTTATGAACGTGCTTTACCATTCTGGAAATTAGAGATTAAGACCTTTCCAACGCGTATAAGCTCATTTCTAGAAGTTATCTGAGCAGCACGCAATGATCCGTTGAGGTCGTCAGACTTAATCTCTAATTAGTTCTCTCCTGATTTGCACGATTTCCATCAGTGGTATCAGAGCCACGGTTAGAGGACGTTCTTTCCTCCATTGGAAGAGATCTAGAGAGGCTTGAAGTGCTCCAGACCTAGGGTTTGACATGGCCCAAAAGTTGGATGGCCCTCCTAGGTTTACCGGCTCGGACTTTTCGCTATGGAGGTTCCAGTTCACACTATGGCTAGGTATTAAGGACCTAGAAAGTGTGTTGGATGGATCGGAGAAGCGACCACGAGCTGACTCTGGGGAGGCGTCTACTGGAGCAACCAGCCAAGTGGGATCCGGGGCTGGGGGAGCATCGTTGAGTGGGGGGAATGAAGGAGGAACCGCTGCAACTCGAACCGGAAGGTCGCAACCAAGTCGCGAGGAGTTGCTCAAAGCTCAAGAAGCATGGGATCGGAAGGATCGCCAGGCATTTCAGTACCTGTGTTGGGCTTTGGAGGGGCAACTTGAGCTTCTTAAGATGCTGATTGACCTGAAGGGGAAGGAAGGTGCAGCAGCTGCAGCTTGGAAAAGAGTGCAAGATAGGCACTTGCAGAAAGGGCTTCTAAGCGTGCTTACTTGGCGGAAGCGGTTTTACACTATGGAGCGGAACTATGGGGAGGGGGAGACCATGGTTCAGTATCTCCAGAGGGTGGATGAGAATGTGAGGGCTTTGGAGGAGCTGGATTACACGGTAGATGAGAAGGAGATCATCTATACTGCACTCCAAGGGTTGGATCAAGCGACTAATGAGGCATTACTACAGTACCTTCACCTCGAGCAACAGAAATGGACCAAGGTGTGGATTTGGGAGGTTCTAATTTCTGATGAGGCTCGCAAGGTTGATGCTGGAAGAGGCCTAGAAGGAGGCATGGGTGCAGCAGATAAAGCTTCCTTCAGGAAAGGCTATCAACAGCAAGGAGGTGGGGGGAAGAAGAAAGAGTTGGACAAATGCCTTGTGCCCGGATGCAACAAAAAACACTCTTGGAAGAGTTGCTGGAGTAAGCCTGAGGGATGGAAGCCTCACGGCTACTCTGGAGAGGCCCCACCAGTGACCAAACCTGATTGGGTGGAGAAAAGGATGAAGAAGGGGCTCTGGAATAAGAAGGGAAGCAAGGGAGCAACGGCGGCAGCTGCTAAGGATGAGAAGGGGAAGGGCCAAGACGACTCCTCCGATGATGGTTTCTCGTTTCTCATGCTAGGGCAGGATGCATCTCTCGCTGGTCGTGCATTGGCTGATCCCAACTTCCTGGTTCTAGACTCTGGAGCAACATCTGGGATGCTTCCTCGCGTGATCTCTTCACCTCCTACCATCCTCTCCCACCAAACTCTAGGAGAGTGATTGTTGGGAGCGGAGATTTGCTGCAGGCAATTGGCGTCGGCACGATCACCATTAAGGGGAAGGAGGGGGAGCTAGTGGGTGTGAAGGGGGTCCTTCACGTCCCTGGTTTGGCTGCAAACCTCCTTTCATGCTCGCAGCTGGCTAAACAGGGATACATCTGCACTTTCACTGAGGGAGGGTGCACTGTTAGAAAGGGTGAAGCTGTGGTGATGGAGGCAAAGCTGGACAAGGGTTTATACCTTGTTCCAGCTTGTGTGCCTAATTGTTACAAGGCACATATGGTTTTTTCTGAGGAAGCCGCTTGTAGCACTCGCTGGAGGCAGGTGGAAACGGTGTCATCTGAGTTGCTACACCTTCGCATGGGGCACGCGGGGAAGCAGCAACTACTGGAGTGTGTGAAGAAGGGGGAGCTGAAGGGGGTGGAGGTCAAGGAAGGAGCTGGGCAGCAGAGAAAATGTCCTGACTGCACATCTGGAAAGCTGCCTAGAACCTCATTCCCTATCTCCTCTGATCATGCCTCAACTCCCCTTGAGCTTGTGCACACGGATGTGTGTGGACCGATGCAAACTCCTGACCGGGAAAGGGGCAGCAGGTACTTTGTCACCTTTCTTGATGACTTCAGTCGACTTAGCTGGGTCATCTTGGTGAAGACCAAGGATGAGGTGGCAAAGGTGTTTAAGCGGTGGATAGGCTATGTGGAGAGGGAATCAGGGGCCAAGGTAAAGGTGTTAAGGTCAGATCGGGGTGGAGAGTACCTTGGGAAAGAACTTTAAATCTTCTTGGAAGAAAAGGGTATTTCCCACCAGCTCTCTGTACCTTACACACCGCAGCAAAATGGGGCAGCGGGGCGGCTTAACAGGACCTTGACCGATTTGGCTCGGGCCATCCTTGCCCATGCCGAGCTTGATAACACTTGGTGGGGGGCAGCAGTGCAGTATGCCAACTGGGTGAAGAACAGGATGGGCAGCAAGGGGCTTGGAGGCAAGAGCCCATACTCCTTATGGACAGGGAAGGTGCCGAATGTTTCCATGGCACGAGTGTGGGGGTGCATGGCTCAGTATAAGGTTCCTGACCAGCAAAGGAGGAAGCTAGATCCTAAGGCACAGTGGGGGGTTTTCCTTGGGGTTTCTGAGAGGAGCAAGGCTTGGGTGCTATGGAGTGTAGCTGACCAGCGTGTGATGGAGAGCCGTGATGTGATTTTCCATGAGGGGCTGAATTATAAGGGGTGGAAGGAGCGTGGTGCAAGCCATAGTGGGACTTCCATTCAAGACCCTCATACGGCCTCTATCTTTGAGGGGGCATGGGAGGACCCTGGAGATGAAGGGGAGGAGCAGCAGCAGGAGCCAGAACCAGCTGATTCTAACCATGAGGAGTCCCGAGAGACAGATTCTACCCCTCAGCCAGCCACGCAGGCCGATGCGCATGATGATCAGCCGGAGCAGCATGTGCCTTCAACTCCATCGAGAAGCAGTTGGCAGGAGTTGTTGGACCAGCAGCTGTCCAAGACTCCGAGGACTCCAATGAAGAGGGTGACTTGGGAGGAGAAGCTGCAGAGGCTGGAAGAAGGAGAGGCAACACCTCTGCGACGCAGTGCTCGAATTTCCCAGCCACTTGAAAGGTTTACCCCGGGGCACATTGCACGCATGCATGATCATCTTGTGTCTGATTTGGATTATTGCATGCTTGTGGACATGCATGGGCATGAGTATGCTCTTGATGTGTGTCTAATGGGTCAGGTGCATGAGCCTAGGTCAGTCCACGAGGCGCTGAACCGTCCAGAATGGGTTGAGTCCATGCATGAGGAGCTTGAGTCTCACAAGGTAAATGGATCATTTGAGCTGGTTGATCCAGCAGTGGTACCACCTGGTTTGGAGGTCCTCAGGTGTCAATGGGTTTGGAAATACAAACATAACCCTGATGGTACCGTTGAGAGGCCTAAGTCCAGATTGGTAGTGATGGGAAACATGCAGAAATTGGGAGTACACTATGAAGAAGTGTACTCTCCAGTTGGGAAGCATGCGACCTTGAGAGGTATGCTTGGAATTTCGGCTGCTTTGAAGCTTGATATCCATCATATGGACGTCAAGACAGCCTTCCTCCATGGGGATTTGGAAGAAGAGCTTTACATGCGGCAGCCTCCTGGTTTTGATGATGGGTCTAACCGAGTGTGTCGCCTCAAAAGGTCCATTTATGGGCTGAAGCAAGCCCCACGACAGTGGTACCTAAAATTTGATGAGGCTCTCATGGATTTTGGGTTTGAGAGATCTGAGTGTGACCCTGCCTTGTACCACTTTGTGCGAGATGAGGAGAGGATCTCCTTATTCCTCTATGTGGATGACCTTTTGCTCCTATGCTCTAGTAAAGTTTTGTTAGATCGAGTGAAAGACTTCTTGTCCTCGCGTTTTCGCATGAAGGACTTGGGGGAAGTGAAGTACTACTTGGGAATGCAAATTGAGCGTGATGAGAGTGGTATCTTGATTCATCAAGAGAGGTACATTCTTAACATGCTTCAGTCCTTTGGTCTTTCAGAGGCCAACCCCGTGCGTACTCCTCTCCCGACAGGCTTTGATGTGCATGCCTATGAGGATGAACCTTTGCTGCGAGATGAGCTGGTCAAGCTCTACCAAAGCATTGTGGGATCCCTCATGTATGCTTGTACTACCACACAGCCACAGATTGCATTCGCAGTCTCACAGCTATCTAAGGTCGCCTCTTGTCCTAAAATGTTCCACTTGCAGGCCGCTAAGAGAGTGCTGAGGTACCTGAAAGGTGGTGTCAAGTCAGGTATCTTCTTCCAAACACAGCCCCAATATCAGGTCCAGCTGGTTGGCTTCAGTGATGCCGACTATGCTGGAGATTCCGCAAGTCGCAAGAGCCACAGTGGGTATGTGTTCTGCCTGAATGGGGCAGCTATCTCTTGGCAGAGCAAGAGGCAGCCCGTGGTGGCACTCTCTACCACTGAGAGTGAGTACATAAGTCTGTGTCAGTGCATTCAGGAGGGTGTGTGGCAGAGGCGTTTGTTTGGGGAGTTTGGCCATGCTCATGCTGGTGGTGTGCCTGTGTTTGTGGACAATCAGTCTGCCATTGCCCTTGCACAGAATGCATGCTTGCATGGCCGCACCAAACACATGCAGGTCCGGTGGCATTTCATTCGGGAGATGGTGGCTGCGGGAGAGGTGATTTTGCAGTGGTGCCCCACCAACCGTCAGGCTGCTGATATCCTTACCAAGTCTCTTCCATTTGAGCGCCATGGTGTGTGCATGACCTTGCTCGGGATGCAGCCCCATGATGCCAGGGTTCCCGCAGCAGATGTCGGCGTCTTGGTGCTCCTCTCCTTGGCGGACTCCATGCTCTGGGTGGCCCCAACCCATGAGCAAGGGGGAGTGGTGTGAAGTCTTTTGCCCTATGGTGTTGAGCCACACCCAGCACGAGCAAGGGGGAGTGATAAATGTGTAGTATTCTGTGGTGTAGTTTGCTCTAGCTGGTTGTGGGCTATTGGGTTTTGGGCAAAAGACCTTGGGTTGGTTGGCAAGGTTTGAACTCGTTACCTTTCCAACCCATACAACCTCAAATCCACTACAACATCTTTGATGTTGCAGTCATGGCACTTGAGAGTGTTGGGGTTTGGTCTAGGGCAAGGGTTGGTGGTGTTTGACAATCACATACTGCAACTTTTCCACATCGAACTGCTTCCCTTCTCGTTTTTACTAGGTGATTCATGGCTGCCTAGCCAAATTACCAGAATACCCCCTCACACAGATTTCGTCATAATCGGCGGCTCAGATCTTGGTTATGAACGTGCTTTACCATTCTGGAAAGTAGAGATTAAGACCTTTCCAACGCGTATAAGCTCATTTCTAGAAGTTATCTGAGCAGCACGCAATGATCCGTTGAGGTCGTCAGACTTAATCTCTAATTAGTTCTCTCCTGATTTGCACGATTTCCATCAGTCATGAGGAGGAGCATCAACTTGATCTTCTCCGCGCGCTTCAATATTTTATCTCAACACCTGACGTCGGTCTAATCTACAACGTCATTGGTTGTAAAATACTCTACCTACATGGTTTTGTCGACGCCGATCACGCTACTGATTCTACTAATCGACGGTCGCGCACTGGGTTCATCTATCGACTGGAACCTATCGGACCTATCTCTTGGAATTCTACGAAGCAGGAGCTGATTGCGCTCTCCTCTGCTGAAGCTGAGTTTATTGCTGTCTGCACAGCAACACGCGAAGGACTTTACTTACAGGAACTATTGGAAGAAGCGAAGTTGACGACAACTACCCAGTTTACCCTACAGTGCGACAATCAAAGTGCAATTCGCATCGCACATCAACGTGGTTTTGTCAATAGGACGAAGCATATTTCGCTTCGTTATTTTTTCGTCAAAGATGAAGTCGAGAAGGGGAGGATGCGATTGGTCTACTGTTCGACCAACGAAATGGCTGCCGATTTCCTCACGAAGAAGCTGAGACGACAGAAGTTCCAGTACTGTAACAAGCTCTGCGGAATCTTCAAGAAGTGACACTATCGAACTTCCAGAAATGAAGGGGAGTGTTGTGATATAATTGATACTTAGCATTTCTGTAAGTCGATTAAGTGTAGTTAGAATCGAATCATACTGTAGAAGATAAGTCCGTAGAATGACGTCAGCAAATAGCACTCGTCATAGGACAGTCGTTTCAGTCACGCGAAAACAGTCGCACCTCTTCATTGTCATCTATGGCGCATAGCGCGATAGTGACGAAAGGGTACATTAGCGAAAAGGTGCTTTTCCTAGTACTATAAATCCTTGTTAGGTCTTTTCATGATTAACTGTGATTAACTTTGATTAACTTTGATTACTCACAAGTTCACGTACTCAGGTTATTCAACCTTGACCTTTTACATTTTACAAGACTTCCGCTGTCTTACTAGTCTACCATTCCAGCAAAGATCCTGGACCAACACTTGAGCATTTGCCAAGTGTTCGTGTTTATAGTTTTATACTTAGTCTACTACAACATATTATAAATTTTAACACACGTAGTGTTTTCAAAAATTGTGTATTGTGAAAGCGAAGCTGATTGTACTGAAGTGTTGGGCATCATCGAAGCACGCTACTCGCCCTTCTCCAACTACATATACGTGGGTTGGAGCTCATTTACCTCCACCCACGTCTCTCATTTTTCAAACGGCTCAGTCAACTTTCCCGCTCTAGCTTTTCTCCCGTTCAAGCTGGCTAAGACTAGAACTTTGCCTCGCGGCGAGTCTCCCTGGACTCTTCTCTCCGACATTTATAAGTTTCACCGATCCGTCATGGCTCCGACTACGAATAATCGCGGCGAGTCCAATGTCGTCACCGGCCACCCCAATTCCGAGTCTACTCGCCAAGCCCCGGAAATTGCGGGCGACCGGCGCAACAAGCGTCAAGCAGAAGAAGGGGCAGCCGCCCCAACTGGGGTTGACGTTCTGCTGAGAGGGGGCGAGGTCAACAGTCAGCCTGCTGACGCGCCCCCGCCCCCTTCTGAGCCACACGCGCAAGTGGCTGGGCAGAGCCAGCCACTCGCGCCTGACGCCGAGCAGCAACACGCGCCAGCCCCGCAAGTGGCGGGTCCTTCTCGCCAACGAAAAAGGGGGCGCGCGGCTACCTCGTCTGACGTGCCGCCCACCCCGACATTGACCCCGTCGTTGACCCCTGCGCAGGTCAACGCGCTGTTGACGCTGTTACAGCAGCAGGCGACGAGTGTTACGGCCGCCGAAACTGCTCAACCTGCTGCTTCTGAATCTGCTAAAAAAGAACCTGCAAAAACAGAAAAGGCCACACGCGGAACCAAGACGCCACGCCTTGCCAAAGACGCTGTCGCCAGCATCCCGCCTGCCCCGGCGGCCGACAACGACAGCGACGACTCCGACAATGACGCTGGTGAGGTCCCCGGCACTGCTGCAAATTCAATTCCCATGGAGCACCTCCCACCACTCCCGTCCACTAATACCACCCTCTCGGCGGCGTCTTTCCTCAACGCGGCCGTGCGCGAGCAAGCGGAAGTCCTGGAGGACCTTTGGGCATACCTGAAGCACGCCGAGTTCAAGGTGCAGCACGGCGACGCGCCGGGCGGCCTCGAATTCCTCGCCGACGCGCTCGCCCTCATATCGCGACGCTTCGAAGTTCTCCAAGTCGAAGACGCCTCCGACTTCCGCACGGCCAAGCGTTTCAAGCTGTACCAGCAGAAGAGTCTGCTTACCTCAAGGCCTTTCAAGCAGGCCGTCGCTGACGTGGCCGCAATGGACCGCGCCGAGGGCGGGTTTGCTCGTGGAAATCGCGGAGGCGGCCGCATGCCCATGCCGTTCGTGCCAAAGCGTGGCCCGCCGCCTACGGGAGAATTCCGTGGCTTCCGAGGCACTTGCTTCCGCTGTGGCCAGCCGGGGCATGTGGCCAGCGGCTGCCCGGCGATTGGGCATGGTGGCCAAGGACCCGCACCAGTGGTGTAGGGGTCGGGCCATGGGCGCTTGTGCAAGTGGTGCAAGGCGCAAGGCACCCGGTGTGTGCGTAGGCCATTGGGCCCACCCCTTAGGGGCACGGGTGGCAGAGGGCCAGCCCTAGTGTAGGCCAATCGAAGGCCCTAGGCTCAGAGCAAGGGAAGGGGAACATACCCCCTCGGTCCCAAATGATAGCCCGACCTTGCAAGGCGGACTTTGCATGCCTAGGAGCATGGTTGAGTAGAGATGAAGCTTGGTTAAAATAAGGAGCCGCGGTCCTTCATTTTTTTTCAGGTCTTGGTCCACTAATATAACCAGAGAAATGGGAGAGCAACACCATAAGAGGCGCAGCAAAAAAAAAAAAAAAAAAAAGGGGGGGGGGGGGGGATTGAGCACGGAACGGGGAAGCATAGTGGGTGGCTCAACCCCCGCTGCATGTCATGCAGCACCCCCGGCCAGAGAAGGAAGGCCATCAGGAACACCAATGGCCCGCCACTTACCCACACAGAGTTGCTCCCTGATTGGACATGCAAAAAACAAAAAAAACAAAAAAACAGAATTCAAGCATTATGCGAGCCTTACAAGGCGCCTACCCTCCAACCCGGTGTGCTACACCCTGGACCCTACGCATTACCCCTCCGTGGGCATACAGGAACAGCCACACCAGCCTCATCTAGGGCTGCCCAGCTTGGCATTGGAAAAAAAAAACAAACAAAAAACGAGTCACATAAGCATGCGCGCACGCACGCGGTATGGCCCACGAACGGGAACAGCAACAAAACACCGCACGCATGCCACACAAGCACACAAGAGGTGGCTAGAAGAAAGACATAAAAGAAAAGAAAAGAAAAGAAGAAGAAGAAGAAAAAAAACACGGGCGTTGAGTCTCAAAACCCAAGAAATGAGAACGCAAGCGAAGGAGGCAATAAGAGGGTAACATGCGTTCGCGAGTAGAAGCGCGAGTGAAGGCACAAGTTGTGGGAATACGAGGGCACAAAGGGAAGCAAACGTCGGGGCTCAGGTTCGAACGCAAGCTCGGCATGCGCGGGCGTACAAACCGACACACACGCAGGTCACGCCGCTCAGACCGGCTCAAAGCGCAGGCAACCACCGACCTAAGCATCTTGCTCGCATGTGGCACTTCAACCCGGCACGCCCTCCTCAGCCACTAGGCTTCACACTCCCCCCCCCCCCCACGCTCTAGGTTTCCGGCAGGCATCAGCCCTGCAGATGAACTCAAGTATTCGTCCCTTGCTTCTCCTTGCATGATGGCACTCCCACAGGCACCAGACTTCGCGAATGCGCTCACAACAGTGACCCCTACGAATACGCGGTTACTGACAAGATGGTCACCCAAATGCGTGGCCGCCTACGTACCACGTTCGCTTGGTGGAGCTCGTGGTGCACTAGCAGTTTCATCCTCTCAGTCATTGCCAAAGGATACTGGATGCCATGGAAACTCGGGCCGCCGCCGGCCTTTCACGATCGCAACCATGCCGGCGCACGCACCCACGAAGCATTCACGCGCACGGCCATCCTTGAACTCACCGAGACCGGCGCGGCCATCCAAATTCCTGCGGCGAAACAGAGATGCATAAGCCCACTCCACGTGGTTGAGCAGAAAGACAAGTATCGCCTGATTCTGGATCTCCGAAAGGTGAACGACGCAATAATCGTCCCCAAATTTAAATATGAGGCACTCAACCGCGTAGCGGACCTCGCCCGCCAAGGAGATTGGATGTTCTCCATCGAGTTGAAATCAGGCTATCACCATGTCGACATCCATCCCTCGTGCTGGACGTTCCTCAGCTTTGAATTCGACGGGTGCACATACGCCTTCCGATCCTTGCCGTTCGGCCTTGCCACAGCACCATTCGTCTTCACGCAGCTCATCAAGCAATTAGCTCGGCGATGGCGGGAGCAGGGGGTCCGCGTGATACCCTACGTGGACGATATCCTCTTCCTGTGCCCGACCCAGGCACACGCTCAAGCCACGTGCCAACGGATCGTTATCGATCTCAAGGCTGCTGGGCTCGTACTCAACTCAAAAAAGTCAAAGTTGATACCAACACAGCACCTTCGGTTCCTTGGCGTAGAACTTGACACACAGGCCGGCCGGTTCTCCATCGGCGAGGAGCGGCGAGCCACACTCAACGCCACCCTCCATGCCCTACTGCGCGCAAGCTCAGCTCAGCGGAAAGTCCCAGTCCGGCAACTGGCCCGAGTTACAGGCATGCTGGCATCGATGGCTGTCGCACTCGGCACCACCACCCGAGCGTTCAGCCATGCCATGCTAGAAACAATCAACGACGCACCGACATGGACCAGCATGGTCATCCTCTCCCCACCCGCCATCGAAGAGCTGAGATTCTGGATCCAAGAGTTCGACCGTTTCAACGGTGCCCCGTTCCATGTGCGGCACAGCTACGATGCAGTCATCCACGCAGACGCAAGTGCCCACAGCTGGGGTGCCACGCTGAACACATTCCCTGGAGCCGCGATAGAGGCCAGCACGGCAATGCCCGGAGCCCTTCATCCAACCTCCAGCACACAAAGAGAGCTCGCCGGCGTGCTGTGGGCGCTACAGACGTACGCGCCTAGAATCCGGAAGAAACACGCGCTAGTGCGGGTGGACAACCAGGGCGTGTTCTTCATCCTTCGCAAAGGAGGTTCACGAAGTCCCGACCTCACCACCACGTGCAAAGGCATCATCCAAAAATGCATGGAGTTCGAGATTCGGCTAATCATCGAATGGATCCTACGCGATCTGAATGGTCGCGCAGACAAGCTCTCCAAGCTAGTCGACCACGATGACTACTCGTTGAAGTTCCCATGGTTTCGCCTCCTCGAGCGTCGCTGGGGGCCCCACTCCATTGACCTATTCGCCAACCCCCAAAATGCACACCTGCCGCATTTCTGCTCTAAGGTCCCCCACCCTGATGCCACAGCAGCCGATGCCTTCTCACTTGCCTGGACGGCTGAGAACAGATTTGCATTCCCACTGCCCCAACTCATCCCCGCAGTACTCCATCACGCACAACGCACGAGCGCATCTCTCACCCTCATAGTCCCACACTGGCCTGGCGCAAGCTGGTGGCCGCTCCTCCAGCCCTCCCCTCCATCGTGGGACCCACACATCCAAGCACATATCCCTCTTACACACGGCAGCCACTGTCTTACAGTCGGCACACATAGTCAAGCATTCTCAGGCACAGGATTACCCAACAGCACTATCGTCGCACTCCGCGTGATATTTGACTAACTAGACCCCCTTGCCTGTCCCCAGATCTGCTTCCAAAGCTCCAACATGACCTGCTTTCCATGCTCGCCCGCTCTCGTGCCGACTTGACCATCCGAACATACGAGCCTTACTGGGTGAAGTTCCGCGCCTTCTGCACGAAGGTCAACCTAACGTTCTTGCCGGCATCGGACATGACCCTCGCGCTCTACCTTGTGTTTGTCATCCAACGCAAGGCCTCCTTGTCGGTGGTTCAGCTCACATGCTCCGCCGTGAGCTTTGCCCACAGGATGACAGGCTCAACATGCCCAACCACCGGCCCTTTCACCTCCCAAGTGCGCGACTTCGCGAAGCGACACTGCCCGCGCCCTAACAGGATTAAAGAGCCAGTCTCACTCCATCAGGTCCACGATATGGCAGCCTCCTTCCTACAGTCAACTAACCCAGCTGTGTTCCAAAAATGACTGATCCCGATTCTCATGTACGCCGGTTTCTTGCACTACTCGGACCTGGTGGTCATCCAATGGCAGGACATCCAATTTAAAGATGAAGCGATGTGGCTACTCATCCCCCACTCAAAAACCGACCAAGCCGGCCAAGGCACATGGATCCCTATCGCGGCAAGCCCCGGACCCTTTTGTCCGGTCCAGGGCACCCAGAGGCTCATCCAACTCGCAGGATACAGCCTCCAGTCCTTGGGACCACTCATCCGGGTCTTCGGACCCCACCTACCGAGCCATGGCACAGCCAGACCGCCCTCATACACCACAATCCGCAACTGGTGCAAGGAAGCCTTCGCGAAAATCGGTCTGGGAGAAGAGCACCTCGGCACCCACTCCTTTCGGAAAGGCGCGGCCACGGTTGCTGCCAACTCCGGGATTCCTGACAGGATCTTCAGACGCCTGGGCCGTTGGCGTAGTGAAACCGCGAAAGAGATGTACGTCACGCCCGCGACCGATCATCTTTTGGCGCGTCTCGACGCCTGCAAGACCCGGCGGCGGCACCATCCTCTGCACAACACGCTGAGGCACTTCTCTGCCACCGCAAGCCCCCACTGCACATGTCTCAACGACCCCACTTGAAATGAGAACGATGCCTATTGCAAAGGACAAGAAAGCAAGCTTTCTCAATATTATAATTTTTAACACACGTAGTGTTTTTCAAAAATTGTGTATTGTGAAAGCGAAGCTGATTGTACTGAAGCGTTGGGCATCGTCGAAGCGCGCTACTCGCCCTTCTCCAACTACATATACGTGGGTTGGAGCTCATTTACCTCCACCCACGTCTCTCATTTTTCAAACGGCTCAGTCAACTTTCCCACCCACCCCCCCCTCTAGACAATCGCCCATCTCCAATTGACAGCCGGTCACTTGAACGGGAGCGCACAAATAGGATCATGATGTGTGCATGTTTAGATTCTTATAAGCTAGTAAGCAACTATTGTACCATGCCACTTGAAATGAGAACGATGCCCCACTTGAAATGAGAACGATGCCTATTGCAAAGGACAAGAAAGCAAGCTTTCTCAATCAGTAGATTTATTTCATAAGCAACTAGGTGAGGACTGACCAATACGAGCAAGAGCTAGGGACGAACGAAAGAGCAAGAACTAGGTACAGTACACTAAGAGGGAAGGACGAGCAGAAACAAGAAGCACCAACAAGCCCTACCAGGGGCGTATTCGCTTTGCCCAACAAAGCTAAGCCAAATACAAGTCAGCACAGTTACTACACCCAAGTTTTCTATTAAATAGCACGTATTACAATCCGATTTTTGTTACACCACCTCAAGTTTGGTTCAGATTTGTATTCTCGCACGGAGAGCGAGTCCCGTCGAACGTGAGAGACTGTTTAGCGTTACAGTCACGGAGCAGATAAAACAATGGTTCCCACCCGAAACAAAACTGCCGACCTAAACGAACTTCTTTTATACGAAACCATAAAATATTGCAGTAGTTATTAATGTTACATGTTTAAAATATACCCCCTTACAAAATAATTTAATCTTCTAGTATTTTACTCACAAAATTTCTATGCACAACCCAAATGAAAAGAAAAAGGCGGGGGGGAAATACTAACTTGAATTGTGAACGGGAAAAATGTAGGCATACGCAACCCATCCGACGATTCACGTCGAGCCTTGTTTTTGCTTATTCTGAGCTCGTCAAGTGATACTATTGTCACACAGAGCCGAAACTGCAACAAACTAAATATAATCTACACACCGAAGCCATACACCAAAATTCCATTCTCTAAAATGATAAGATACTACACCCCACCTCCCAACAAAGGCACTCTCAAATTCTCTTTTTCTGGTTGCCACTCCATACAATCACTTCCTCATCCACCTCCACATCATGAATATCACTCCCCTCCTCGGAAATTGCTTCTATCACATATCCAGCAACCTCCAAGTCGTCTCCCTGCACATCCCCCTCTCCCTGCAGCACACCCCCCTCTCCACACAATTGCTCTCCACTGCCGCCCTTTTCCCCTCCTATCTGCACGCCCCACTCCATGCCTACATCCTCCGCTCGCTCTCCCTCCGCTCTCTCTCCCTCCGCTCTCTCTTCATCTGGTCTCTCCACTTCCTGTTCCCCTACAACTTCCCTTGCCCAATTTCCGCCACCTCCACCTCCCATGGCACCTCCACCCCCCACCATTTCCTTCACCCCATCCACCTCCATGCCTACACGTTCCTCCCCAACACTTCCCTCTCCCCCATCCATCTCTATCCCTAACTCCTCTCCCCTTTCCCCTCCTCCACAACCAACATTCTCCTGCACACAACCCATTACCACTCCCTCACTCATATTGCCCCCTTTCCCCCTAGACTTTACTACTTCCGCTGCTGCTAGACAGCTCTCACTCCCACACAAAACTTCACCAGCAGTCCCCTTCTCTTCTACCACTTCCCAATTCCTCGCCTCCTCTCCTCTCTCCTCCCTGTTCTCACTCCCCCTTCCCTCTTCACTCCCCCACACCTTGTCCCAATCCCCTACCAGCCTCTCCCACGTCCCGTTCTCATCACCACTCTCCCCCCCACTCCCCTCTCGCTTCTTTCCCTCGCTCCTCCCTCCACCCCTTCTTCCACTCTCCCTCTGCCTCTCCTGTCCACTCCCCCCTCTCTCCACCCCTTCACACTCCTCTGCACCTTGCCCTCTTCCTCCACCCCCCCCATACTGCCACATCCAGAAGGGAAGGAAGGCAAACCCACTGAACGTAGCAGGACGCCCCCTTGCATCACAGGATAGCACTGAATTGGCCAAGCCTCCAGATGCAGCGGGAGCGTGCGCTGCCACACCACGCCTTGCCACACCAGGAACAGAACCCAGAACCTCCTCCTCCACCGTTTCCTCCTCCCCTTCCTCCTGTGCATCCCCGGCCAATCCCACTGGGGTAGCGTTTGTTTCCCCCGAACGCGCCTTCAGCAACTGTGCCTCTCCTGTGACCACTCCCTCCACCCCTGTCTCCCCCTCTGCTTCTGTCACTGTTACTGTCTCCAGCTCTTCCTCTGACGCAGTTTTTATCCCAGCATCTGTCTTAATCCCTCCCTTGTACTCCATCTCTGCTTCTAATCCTGCATCTGCATCTGCTTTTTCCTCCGCCTCCGCCTCCGCCTCCGCCTCTGCCTCTGCCGCGATCAAACAATTCATTCCTGCACCAACAGCATCTATGCCATCAGGTTCCCGCCACCCCTCATCCCACTCATCCCCCGTCAGAAGGTCAACAATGCCCACAGGGCTGTTACCCACAGGCAGCACAGCACACACACTACCCGTCGCACATGCACTCTCCCTCTCCTTTGCACAGACGGTCGCGCCAGCACTATCAGCCCACTCGCCTGCACCACTATCGACTGTATCAATATCGAGTACACCCATATTGAGTGCACCAATACTGAGTGCACCAATATTGAGTGCACCAATATCGAGTCCACCAATATCGAGTGCACCAATATCGAGTGCACCACCAGCACCAGCCTCATCCCACTCGCCTCCAGTCAAAAGGTCAAGTATGCCCACAGGCCTGTTCCCACCAGCAGACAGCACAGCACACGCACCACCACCCGTCACACACGCCCTGTCAGGCGCAGCACCATCGGCGGCACAACCAGCCAAGCCCTCAAAGCCTGCAAATGCATCCCATGCGGCAGCAGCAACTGAAGCCCCTAGCTGCTCGTTCTCTCCCACCGAGGTGAGAGCCTCTTCTCCCTCCACTCGTCCCATTCCGCCACCCCCCAACATAGTACCCTTAAAATCCCGTTTTTCCTCAACCACCCTTCTTTCCACATCACCCTCTTCCTCTCCCTCCATCGCCACCACCACCTCCCTTTCCCCGTTCCTCCTCGCCCTTCCATCGTCCCCTAACCCCATGTCAATTCCCCGCTTTCCCCTTCCCTCATCCCTCCCCTCAACACCACTCCCCTCCCCCTCTCTCACCTGCCCCTTCCCCTTCCCCTTCCCCTTCCCCTTGCCCGCCCTTCCACACACATCAGCAGCAGCAGCAGCAGCAGCACCAGTCAGCACGGATACTGGCACCAGCAGAGGCGCCTTCCAAGCACCTTCACTCTCAGCCACACTGCTACATGTCCCATCAGCCCCACCAGCTTGGCGCGCTTCCAAAGCCAGGTCATCCCTGGCACCACTCTTCGCCACTGGCTGAGCCTCCATGCCTTCAAAGGCCGCATACGCCCCACTGCTTCCTGCACACGGCATCCACACACCAGAAGCAGAGCTCCTCTGCGTTCCGCTGCTTCGCCCACCCTCCTCCTCACTAGTAGTATCTGCAGCGGCGCAACTCACACCCTGCTCTCCTCCTCCCCTCTGGACACTTACATACCCAGCCATTCCTACAGCCTCTGCTCCTGGACCCCCCTCTCCTCCACAACCCATAGCTATCCTTGCCTCGCCAACAGCCCCTCCCACTCCGCACACCCCCAACGCCTCCCCCGCAACACGTCTCCCAACCCCTGCATCCCCTGCAGCACCTGCAGCGCCTGCATCGGCTGCACCCCCTGACCCCCCTGCACCCCCCTCCTTCAGCACTAGGAACCTTCGCAATCCAGACCCTTGGATCCCAATCACTCTGCCGTCCATTTTCGCGACCACGTGCGCGATCTTGGTCGCACCAAATTCAGCCAGGGACAAGCGCAGCCCAAACACGCGGCGGAACTCTGAGGGTACGCGGACCAGGCTCATGCGCCCCCCGTTCAGGTGCAGCAGGTGGCACAGCCGGTGGGATAGTTTCGTAATGTCCCCGGATTTCGCGGGGGCGAAGATGTCCGGAAGGTGGTAGGGCGGCGGAAGAGGGGGGGAGGGAGAGTAGACGTGGGTGTGGGGTGGGAAAGGGAAGGGGAAGGGTTGTGGGGGGGGTGGGACCAGTGAAGAAGAGTGAGTGGTGGGAATGAGTCGGTGTATTGGCTTGTACTTGGTGGTGGGGAAAGGGGCAAATCCGGAACGGGAGGGTTGGAATACGGGATTGGAGCTGTGGCGATGTTGCGAGTGGAAAAGTCGCCAGAGATATGCACGTGCGCGTTGGTACCAGGACTATCAGTTGCATCAGTCTCCCTCTCTTCCTTGATGTCCGGGAGAGAGGGTGCAGGGGATGGAGGAAGGGGAGGAGGGGCAGTTGGCAGAACAGCAGAGAACTCTTGGCTTGGGGCATCTGCCATAGCACCACCAGCACCACCACCAGCACCAGCGGCAGCACCAGCAGCAGAAATACCAGCTGCCGTTATTACAGCACTAGCGTCAGCACCGTCTGCAGTGCCGATTGCACTGCCGGCATCCATGCTGCTCCTATCACCGCCACGGTTAGTCGCATGTACAATAAGCCCATCAGCCATCATGTTACATGACATGGTGACCAATGTGTGCATCACCACATCAGTCGACGCGTCCGTAGGCACTTCAGTTGACATGTCAAGGGACATATCACTCGGCATGTCAGAGGACATGTGTCTATAAGCAGTCAACACCTCCTCGATACTCCCTTTCGCCGCCACATCGCCGCTTCCCACACTCACCACCCCCCTGTCTTCTCCCTTCCCTCCACCCCCTCCCTTCCCTCCTCCATCCACTCCTGCGCCAGACGAGCTGATAGGGGGACTCCCATGCACGGGCTGCGGGGGGCAGGGGGCCGATGACCGGGATAGCGGGTGGCACAGAGGGGCGCCAAGAGGTTGAAGAGGTGGACTAGGACGTGAGGAAGGAGCATCGGCAGAGGTGGAGGAGGAGGAGGAGGGTGGAGCGGCAGGTGGATGTGAGTGGGATTCGGTATTAGAAAAGTGTGGGTGACGAGGAGGAGGAGCAGCAGCAGAGGGCCCTGGGACCGGCGGCAGCAAAGACGAAGACTGGTGCAGGTGGGAGCGCTGCTGAGTCACCAACCCATTCGGCCCCATCCAATTCCTCCCAACCAGATCCCCAAACCCTCCAACCCTCCCCCCGGTAAACACCCCATTACCACCACCACCGCCATAGAACCCCTCTCCAGCAGCACCTGCAACACCCTGCATCTGCCCCATACGCAACCCTCCCACCATCTCTTCCATCCTCCCACCCCTCCTCCCCTCTGCCCCTGCAAACGCCACCAGCCCCTGCCCGCGCACCAGGGCAAGCCAGTCCCACACAAACCCCGCCCCCGACAGCAGCGCCGTCGAAACCCCCGCATGCGAGTACACCGGCGCCAGCAGCAGAACAGAATACCCCCTCTGCCCAAGCTTATGCAGTGAAGGGGCGAAATCCACATCGCCAGAAATGAGGAGGATAGAGGCGGGGGGTGGGTGGTCTAGCGCGAAGAGGAAGAGGTCGGAGAGGATAGCTTTGTCTGAGGCGTCCTTGCGGCCGCTCGGCACGTCCATCAGGTTCACGCCTGTGCGCTGCAGGCCCTCGCGGATGCGGATGGGCAGCAAGCCAAAGTCGCCGTAGGCCGTGAAGGCTGGTGGGGGTATGGGGGGGGTTTGGGGCGCAGGGGGAGAGAGGAGGGAGAGGGAGCAGAAGCATTTGACGGAAGGCTGGCTGGAAGAGGTGTGGGAGGCGGAGGGTGGGGGGTTGAGAAAGATCGGAGAGGGCGAAGGGGAAGAGGTCGGAGAGGAAAGTGCAATGAAGGGCACTGGAAACTGACCTGTGATGCGAGCGGCGGCGGTGGCAGGATGCGCAGCGAGGCCGCTGCGCACTCTGCATGCCACGTCCACGGGGCGGACGTCGGACGGCACCGAGCAGTTCTCAATGTCCCAAAACACGCCCAACGGATAATGGCCGCTGCTGCTGCTGTTGTTATTGTTGAAGCTGTATGTCGGATTGGCGTAAGGGGCGTGGCTGCACATGGTTACATGGTTACCGGGAAGCTGAACGCACTGCTGCTGGTGATGAAGTGGGAGGGTTCCGGGCAGCGATGGTGGCAGCTGTTGCTGCAGGTGTTGAAGGAGGTAGAGAGGAGAAAGGTGAGGAGTAGATGTGGTATGTACGTGATAACGAGGAGGAGGAGGAGGATGAAGATGAGGGGAATAATGCTCGGAATGGCTTCCATTGTTATGACTGTACACCAGATGCTGCTGCTGCTGCTGCTGCTGCTGCTGCTGCTGATACGGATCTTGGTGCTGCTGCTGCTGGAACTGCTGCCAATTATAATGCTGAATATCCGGTTGATTTTGCTCATGAGAACTATTGTACAACTGCTGCTGCTGCACTGGCAGCTGCCCTAATTGCTGCTGCTTGATCTGCTTTTGCAGCTTTCTCTGCTGTCTCTGAACCTGAGGCTCCACCTGAGCCCTTGAACCATCCACCTGAAATTTCACCTGAGAAGGTCCTGCTGCACAAGAACTTGTTGCCTTCTTCGACAAAACTTGCCCCTCTGGTATTGGGGATTGCTCCTGCGCTTGGCCTGCAGGCTCGGACCGGAGCTCTGCAGGCTCTGACCGGAGATCTGTAGGCTCGGACCGGAGATCTGTAGGCTCGGACCGTGGACCCGCAGCTTCGGACCGTAAATTCACACGGTCGGAAGATAGACCTGCAGGCTCGGGCCGAAGATCTACAGCTTTGGACGACAAATCGGCAAGCTCGAGCAGTCGATCTACAGATTCGGACCGTGGATTCGCAGGCAAAGCCTCCCGCTCCTCGCTTTCCTTGACCTCCATGAGCCTCTCAGCTTGCGACCCTTCTAGCCGTGGCACCTGATCCTGTAGCAGCCCCAAATCTTCCGTCCACTCTCTCGCCGGCCCGTCTTCTCCCACCATCACCGCGCCTCCATTCGCGCCGCCATTCGCGCCTCCATTCGCGTGCGTCTCTTCAACCCTCACGCTCTCCAATCCCCCCCGCTGGGAGTCATTATAGATCGCTCCCAGGCCCTGTGCGGCTTCCAGGCCCGTCATCATCTCGCGCGAATGCGTCGTCGTAGCCGAATTCTCCTGCGAACGATCCTCTGTGGTAACCATGCTGTCAGGTGAAGAGCCTCCCGCTTCGCGAAGACGCGAGTCATGGGCAGAAAAAGCCGGTGGAAGGGGCGACGTGGAGGGACGCATGGCGGGAAGCATGGAGGAACGCATGGGATCTGGGTGGTACAAAAGGCGGCGCTTTTCGATCGCTACACTAGGCGACCTTGATTGGACTCCTAGCTGCAAAGGTGCAGCTTGCTCAAAATTGATCAGCAGCGCAGCGGGAGGAGTCGATCGACGAGAGGATGTACCAATGGTCACGTCAAGTGACAGGTTGAGAGGCGGATGTGGAGAGAAAAGTTGGTTCAATGGAACTTCAAAGCCTGTGAAGGGATGCTGGAGAGAGGGCGAGTGCTGGACAAGGGGGAACACACGAGAGGAAAACGGCCGTTTGCGGTGGCTTCACCAACACGAAACCTGTCAACACAATTGCACACGAATTCCAAGAGAGGTGGCTGTTGTTTTACCCGCAAGCGCTACAAACGCGTATGCTGTTCAAGGTTGTCGACGTGGCAGTGGCTCCCTGTACTGTACCACGCCAAGGGGTCTCGTGGCAGCTGGGGGCTTGCTCACAGAAAGTGTCGACCTCATCCACGTACAGAGAGTGTACGTGGCAGCAGTGGTTTGCTTGGCGACAAGGCTTGCGAGGTTGGCGCTTTATTTATATTGATAAAAGAACGCATACACTGATTAGCTACTCTAGTAGGTTATCTGTGTCATTTTGTACACAGCCGCACTCTGGCTTCGGGTCTGTCAGCAGCAACCTGGCGATTCCGATTAGGAGGATACATTATTATGCGCGCGTTTTTATTTATAGAGAGGTGCATTTCCCCATAAGGTGTACACCCGCATCCCCCTTGTCGGGAACCTGTTCTGCTACCACCGCACACAGCTGGCTTTGGGACTGTCACCAGCATCCTCCCCATTCTGACAAACGGGTAGGCTGGATAGAATGTGTGGTTCCGAGTGAATCACCCACCACCCGACACCACGCGCACACACAACCACCACCATCCTATCTATTCAAAGCCTCACTTGCTTCCCTCCCTGCACCCTTTCCTCTTTCTACCACTCCCTTTTTCTGACTCCGTGATTCACGCGGTCACGAACTTCACGGGCTGTCAGTCACAGAACAGGGGAGCGGCGCCAGTAGTCTAGCCAACCTTCGCTAATCATACTGCCGCCCACGGACGCTATAGCGACACCCGCGGGTATGGCGGCTACTGCGGCGCGCTGTCCACGTGGCAGCCTCCTCGCGCACCTTACCTCTCCGTCTCCCGCCGGCCAGCACATAAAACACAGCGCTTCGCCGCACCTTGCGCGTCCTCACCCAGGGGTTCCTTCCGCGCACCTTAGGCAACGGCACGGATTATCTGTGCGATGCAGCGGAGCTGCTTCTAACGGGGCTGTTCCCAGCGGGACCCCCTCCCGTGCTCGGACTTCCCCTATTTCTGCCGCGTCGCCTGCAGTCGCGCCCGTGGAGGAGGCTGCTGACGTGGCGGAACGGGAGGCATTGGCGCTTGCCGTAGACGAACCACAACGGTCAGATACCGAATTGATGGCGGAAAGCGATGTTGAGAGTGAGGGGGAGCTGAGCGCGGGGGAATGGAGCGACGGGGAGGCGGAGGCGGCGGAAGAAGCAGGCGCGCGGGGGTTCCGGCGGAAGAGCGGGCGGAAGAAGAGCGGGACGGTTTCGGGATCGTCGTTGTCTTCGGGGGAGGAAGAGGAGGGCGATGCGGCGATGGAGATCAGTCCTGAGGCGCTTGCGAAGGAGGTCGCGAAACGTCGTAACTTCGCCATCATTTCGCATCCTGACGCGGGAAAGACGACGCTGGTACGACACGGGCGTCATCATGCCTGATCGCGATTCTCCGATTCATTTCTCTGCTAAAACGTCCTTTTGGAAAGCTGTGAAACATTTCCTAGAAATCTCCGCGGGAGGGTGGAAGCCTTTAGGCTATAGGCACGGTTGCCGCCAGGGAGAGCCGATTAACGAGCGAAGTCTGGTGTCAAGCGGAGCTCCTGGAGTGGCAATGGAAATGACTTGGAGCTGTGATAGGTTTTTTGAGAATTCTAAAAAATGACTCCACTGAGGCAGGCTTCTCTCGTCGTGTTCCTTAGGGACGGAGACTCCGCTTATTCGCGTCGATGCGGGCTACAGTCGTCGCCGTCCTTCGAACGTTTCCCACTGCCAGCTAGGTGCCTCGCCCATCGCCACCCGACCCGACTCCCCCTCCTCCCCTCCTCCCTTGGTCTCCCGCAGGCGGACAAGCGGCTGCTGTACGGCGGGGCGAAGCACCAGGCGGCTCTGTGTCCATCGAACACCCTACCCGACTCCCCACCGCCCCCTTTTCCTCCCTGCCACCCCCTCCTCCCCCCCCCTGTTCCCCCCTCCCCCTCTGCCCGCAGACGGAGAAGCTGCTGCTGTACGGGGGGGCGATCCACGAGGCGGGCACGGTGAAGGCGAGGCGCGCCGCCAGACATGCCACGTCGGACTGGATGGAGCTGGAGAAGCAGAGAGGTGCGCGGGATGCTTCAGAAATGTTAACTGGGGAAGAGCAGGGTGAATGGGGGGGAGAGCGGGGTGAATGGGGGGGAGAGCGGGGTTAAAGCCCCCCTCTCATATTTCCAAAGGTATTACCTTTGGCCAGACAGGCGCAGCGGGGATTGGGTAGCGAGGTACGAAATTCAGAGTCGCGAGAGCTGGGGTTTGACGAACACAACAGAGAACCAGGCCCGAAACCCAACCAAACTTGCAGGCTGGGGGAACCTCCGTACCAACCCCTCAAACCGAAAATACGTTGCCAGCCGACTTGGCACGTGCACGGCGACACACCCAAAACACGGAAATCCAAAACAGAACGTGTCGAAACCCAGCACGGTAGGTTTGTGATCACCATGGTGTGGCTTGGTTGTCGCGTGGGGTTTTTCCCCAGTCTTTTTGCTTTGTGACCAATCAGGGGCACGTCCACACCAACCAACCAAACTTGCGATACCCACCCTTGTTACCCTATTACGCAAGAGTATTACCTTTGCTCAACCCTGGAAATGTGAGAGGGGGGCTTTAATGGGGGGGAAGGAGAGGGGTGAATGGGGGGAGAGAGGGTTCGAGTTTGTTATGGGGAAGAGGGTGAGTGATGGTCGTATAGTATGGTACCGACTTCCTTTTTGCATTGCAAGCTTGAAATTTAAATGTCGCTCACTCACACGGTATTGGATTTCGTGGCTTGGGGGGATGGCATGGCATGTCATGGCATGGCATGGCATGGCATGGCATGACATGAATGGTTAATGATGGCATGATTCATGGCACTGCGACTGCCATGGTGCATGCATGGTGTGGAATGACGCATTCGGCATGGCATGTGGCCCATGGTATGGCATGGCATGGCACGCATGATGCATGGTATGGTGAATGGATGCATGACATGGCATGGCATGGCATGGCATCTCGAGCAGGCATCTCCATCACATCGACGGCCATGGTGTTTGAAGCCAAGGACAAGCAGATCACACTGCTTGACACGCCCGGCCATCAGGTGAGAGAGCGGGCTGTCAGTCAGGTGAGAGAGCGGGCTGTCAGGTGAGGGCTGTCAGTCAGGTGAGGTGAGAGAGTGGGCTGTCAGTGTTCCTCCTTCGGACTCGTCATTACAGCCACCATGGCCGTTATTGCTCGCCATTCAAGAAATGCGCCCCTCTTACCGGTACTTTGTGTGTCGTACCCATGCCATGCTGTGCCCATGCGACGCCCTCTCTGTCATGTCTTTAATGTGGTGTCAACCCCTTCCCGGTGTCGCAAACAAAGAAGCATGCAACAGTTGATTGACAAGTCTTGCTCCCTCCCTGTCTCCTGCCCCCGTGTGTTTCTGAATTGCAGGACTTTGGCGAGGATACTTACAGGTGTGTATGTGCTGGGAGCAGTGTGGACAGGGGGGAGGGGGGAAGAGGGGGGGGATGTAGGTGGGGGGAAAGGGGTGGGGGGTGGGGGGTATTGACTGTGCTTTCTGTGTCTTGTGTTTCCGTTTATGCCCACACTGCCATCCACCCACCAACTCTTTTATGCCATCCACTTTTTTGCTCGCCTCGCGCCATCCCTCTTCCTATTCCCGTCTTCCCTGGTCCCTTCTCCCTAGCTTCCTTCCAAACAACTCCCCTCCCCCCCACACCTTTCCCCCCCGCCCTTCCCCGCTCTCCCAAACCCCTCTTCCCCCCCCCAGGACGCTAGCAGCGGCGGACAACGCGGTGATGCTGGTGGATGCGGGCAAGGGCCTGGAGCCACAGACGCGCAAGCTCTTCGAGGTGTGTAGAATCCGGTCCGGAGATGGAGGAAATAGAGTGGGCAGGAAGGTCGGGGAAGGTGGGGATTTCGTGGGGTTGAGGTTGAGGTTGAGGAGGAGTACGAACGGCAAGGTGGGGGAAGGTAGCCTGGCCTGACTGACCGGTGTACTGTCTACACCACTGCTGCCTACACTGCAACCCCTTTCCCAACCCCTCTCCCTTCTCCCTCCATCCCTTTTGCCTACCCGCCTTTCCCATCATCTTCTACCCGCCTCTACCTCTCACCTGCCTGCCCTCCCTTCCTCCTCTCCCCCCTCTCCCTTTGCTCCCACTCCCTCCCCTTTCCCTCCCTCCTCGTCTCGCTCACCGCCCATCCCATGCTACCCACCGCCCACATCTCCTCTCCTGCACCGCCCACATCGCCTCTCCTGCACCCCTCCCTCTCTCGTCCCCCCCACACCAGGTGTGCCGCATGCGGCATCTTCCCGTGTTCACGTTCATCAACAAGATGGACCGCCCGGCCAGCGGCCAACCATCGTCAACGCACTTACTTGCCCCTCCCCATACCCCCTCCTCCCACATCCCCTCTCCTCCCCCCCCCCTTCCCCACACCCCCCAACCGCACCAGGTGTGTCGCATGCGGCACCTGCCGGTGTTCACGTTTATCAACAAGATGGACCGCCCGGCGCTGGAGCCGCTGGAGCTGATGGACCAGATTGAGAAGGAGTTCGCGCTGCCCTGCCACCCCATCAACTGGCCCATTGGCTCCGGCGACAGGTCAGGACTCAGGGCCTAGCTAGCTTACACCAGCCACGTCACAGCCCGTAGCAAGGGGTGGTCGTTAGGGGTTGGGTTGCTGGCGAGGGAAGGGGAGGGTGGATATTGTGGTGTGGCGTGGTGTGGTGTGGTGTTCCCAATCCACGTTCTAGGAGTCTCATCTCATGGCATGCCGCTCCGCTTTCCCCTCCATATTGGTGATGCGTGCATGCACCCAACTGCCATTCACCTAGCGTTCGCCATTGTCCCTCAAAACCTTCCTCCTTCCACCTATCTCTTCCCTCCTCCCTCCTTCCTCCTTGCTCCTCCTCCCCCCCCCCCCCGTGACCCCCACCCATCGCTCCCATTAGGTTCAAGGGCGTGTACGACCGGGTGAGTGGGCGCGTGCACGTGTTTGACCGCGGCAGCTTCCACGGCAGCAGGGAGGTGCAGGCCACCGTCATGACGCTCGACGACCCGCGCCTCAAGGACATGGTGGAGGACGAGCTCCTGGCACAGCTCATGGTGAGAGGGGGGGGGGGGGGTGTGCAGGGGGAGAGGAGGGGGGGGAGGGGGGCGGTTGGAGGGGTGTGCGCATGGGAGCGCATGGTGTAGGTAGGGAGGTGCACCGTCATGACTCTGGATGACCCGCGCCTCAAGGACAGTTGTACTTGAACGCAAGTAGCAGTGAGGGAGTGAGTGATCGTGCGAAAGAGTGGTTGCTGACCTGCTGCTGCCGCAACTCATGGTGAGAGGTGGGCGTGGTGAGGGAGGGGTGGGGTAACGGGTGGGAGAGGGGGCTATGGCTACAGGGGGACTGACTGAGGGAGCAGACTCTCACTCTCTCTCTCTCTCTCTCTTGAGCTTTACATGGGCCTTGTTCCATTCCATACATACATACTGGACGTTCTACGTTTCTTTATTACGACAAACTCTCTTGCTCACATGTCGCTTCCATCTCCCTCCTTCTGTCTAACATGTCTGTTCCCGCACTCTCCCTACCTGCCCCTTCCCGCGCTTCCCTCGCTGCGCCCCCATTCTTCCCACCGTCTCTCTGTCGCTTGCCCTCATGAGGTGGCCGTGCCCCTCGTCCCTCTGCTCGCTGTACCTCATGACGTACATGCCGTTGTTTGCCTGCCCGTCCCTCTGTGTGCCTCGCTGCCCACACCCACACGACGAGGGAGTGCTGTTGCTGGGAGATCCAGCACGCCTCGCCTCCTTATGGCCCTCCTCCCCCCGCCCATCTTCTCCCGCTTCCCCTCTCCCTGTGCGCCCTGTGTGCCCCATGCGCCCCATGCGCCCTGTGTGCCCTGTGTACCCCATGCGCCCTGGTGCCCGTAGGAGGAGGTGGAGCTGTTGGAGGAGCTGGCCCCGCCGCTGGACATAGAGAAGGTGCATGCGGGCGACCTCACGCTCGTTTACTTCGGCAGCGCCATGAACAACTTCGGCGTACGCCCCTCCCCCCCTCCCTCCCTCCCTCCCTCCCTCCCTCCCTCCCTCCCTCCCTCCCTCCCTCCCTCCCTCCCTCCCTCCCTCCCTCCCTCCCTCCCTCCCTCCCTCCCTCCCTCCCTCCCTCCCTCCCTCCCTCCCTCCCTCCCTCCCTCCCTCCCTCCCTCCCTCCCTCCCTCCCTCACTCCCTCCCTCCCTCCCTCCCTCCCTCCCTCCCTCCCTCCCTCCCTCCCTCCCTATGCCCACTCCTTTTTGCTGCTTCCTCCCGTTCCTGTTTTCTCGTTTGGGCTCCCTTGCTACCGTCTCCCAATCCCTGCAACGTTCACCCACTTTCCTCCTCCTCTGCCGACATGCCACATGCCTCTCAGTCCTCCATCTTTCCTCCCCAATCCCCCCCACCCCCCCCTCGTCTCCTCTCGCCCGCCCTCCCCAGGTGAAGCTGTTCCTATCCCAGACAGTTTCCTGCACCACACGGGTGGCCCCTGGCGCCCACCGCACCAACATCTGGCCCCACCCCCCTAGTGCTTCCATAGTTGCTGCCATAAGGTCCCGCCCACCTTCCCCCCCTCCCAATCCCACCTCCCCCTCCCCCCCTCCCCCAGGTGGAGCTGTTCCTAGACAGCTTTTTGCAGCACGCGGTGGCCCCTGGCGCCCACGACACCAGTATCTGGCTCCAACCCGCGAGTGCTCCCATACACACCTCAAGTTCGCACCCCTTTCCCCAATCAACAACCCCCCCAATCCCCCCGATCCTCTTCCCCCCCCCCACAGGTGGAGCTGTTCCTAGACAGCTTTCTGCAGCACGCAGTGGCCCCTGGTGCCCACGACACAGACATCGGCGAGCTGCCAGCAGAAGACCTCAACTTCTCGGGGTTTGTCTTCAAGGTGCGCTGGCCGTGGCTGCAGTGCATGGCGGGGCGGGGAACGGGGGAGAAGGGGGAAAGTTTGGGGAGGGGGAGGGGGAGAGAAGAGGGGGGGGGGGGAGTGGAGGGATTTATAGTGGAATTGAAGGCGGGAGGCAAGAGGGAGGATGAAGCTGTTTGGGGGATTGCTGTGTGGCTGGGTGAGTGTGTTCTGGATAGACACAAGTGGGGCTTTGTTCGGTTGTAATCAGGGAAGGAGGAGAAGGGATGGGAGGGTTTTGATTTCTTGCGGCTTGGTGTTGCCCCTGCTCCATATTACCCCCGTCCCGCATCGTATCAGTCTAGTGTCCAGAACAAGAGTATTGGAATTACTAGAAAATGCGTTCTTTAAGGCCCTTCCTTTTCATGATTGAGCCTCGTTTGTTCTCTCTTCGCCCAACGCCCTCCGTTCGTGCAGTGTTCTCACGTTAATCTCCTCCTTCCCTTCCTTGTCCTCCCTCCCTTCCTTGTCCTCCCTGCATTCCTCCGTCTGCCATCATCCATGAAAGTGTTTTTGACGCATCTAAACGTCTCCCTGTCCACCTGTGTTCTCCCCACTGTCCCTTCTCCTCCCCCCGGTATACTACCACCGCCATCAGCTCCAGGCCAATATGGACCCCAAGCATCGGGACAAGGTGGCGTTCGTGCGAGTCTGCTCAGGTACTCTCCCACACGCATGCCCTCTCCCTGCCTCGCTTCCACCTGCTGTCTGTTTTTGAGGCGCCTCAAAAAGCATCGTGACAGCAAGGTGGTGTTCGTGCAAGTCTGCTCAGGTGCTCGCCACTGTATCATGTTTGCTCTGTGTTGGCGAGCTATGCACCTATCTGCGCAGTCCAACACAACACGCCCACACACAGAACCCCCTCCCCCCCGGCGTTTCCTCCTTTCCCGTCCAATCCCCCCGTGCGTGCAGGCCAGTTCAGCAAGGGCATGAAGGTGCAGCTGGCGCGCACCGGCAAGACGGTGGCACTGTCGCGGCCGCAGAAGCTGTTTGCTCAGGAGAGGGCTGTCGTTGAGACGGGCTTCGCAGGCGATGGTGAGGGGGGGAGGGTTTGGGCGGGTTTTGAGTTGAGAGGAAAGGTGATTGGAGCGGGGGAGTTCAGCGGATGGCTGAGGTGGAAAGGGGATGCGCCGATGTTGGTGTGAGGGGCCAGGGGAGTTGGGGGGGGGGGGGAGGGGGGAAGGAGCTAGGAGTTGAAGTGAGGGCCGTGGTGGAAAGGGGATTAGCTGGTGGTGATTCCAACGATTGCACTCCAACTCCACTCCTTCCCCCCAACCCCCCTGCTCCCCTACCCCACCCGAGCCACCCCCCTCTCCGCACCCATTGATTGGGCTCAACAACCCTGCTGTGTTTGCCATAGGGGACACCATCTTAAATGGTTTTGAGATGGCACTCCAACTCCAACTCTCTCCCCACTCTCCCTTCCCCCTCTCCCCCATCTCTTCCCCCGCCCCTCCCCCTCCTCCCCCTCCCCCCACCCCTCACCCAGTGATTGGGCTCAACAACCCCGGCGTGTTTGCCATTGGGGACACCATCTTCACGGGGCCGCGGCGGGTGTTCCCGCCCATTCCGTGCTTCTCGCCTGAGCTCTTCGCGCTGCTGCGCAACCCCAACCCCTCCAAGTACAAGCAGTTCCAGAAGGGCCTCTCGGAACTGCTGGGCGAGGGCGCCGTGCAGGTGCGTGCTGGTGGGTGCTGGTGTCTGTCTGTGTGAGAGAGAAAACAGGAGGAAGTTTGGAAGTGATAGAGAGGGCGAGAGTGTGGGCGAGAGAGAGAGTGTGAAAGAGGAGGTTCTGCCTTATGCCGTCCGGTTTTACTTTCCAGCCTATTCGAGCTTGACTTTCTCTATCCCCTGGTCTTCCTAACTTCCTCTCGTCTTCCTCCCTCCCTCTCCATCCTCCTTTGCCTTGCTCTGTTTCCTTCACCGGCAACTCTCTTCCTCTCCCTCCTGCTCCATCCATCGCTCTTTGTCCTTCTCTCAGCACCTCCTTGCTGCAGTGTGCTTGTAGAACCAAGGCGTCTCCTTCCTTGCGTCATGCTCTTATCTGCCGTAGTCGCACGCGTCCTTTATCTCGCTCCCTTCTTCCCTTCCCCCCCTTCTCCCCTCCCCCCTCCCCCCTTCCCCCTTTTATCCCCCCCACCCTTCCTCCCACACCTTCAACCCTGATCCCTGAACCCTCTCTCCTCTGGGCAGGTGCTGTACTCCAACGATGCATCGCGCACCGACCCTATTCTGGCAGCTGTGGGGCAACTGCAGTTTGAGGTCCGTACCGTACTCCCTGCCCTCCCTGCCCTCCCTGCCCTCCCTGCCTTCCCTGCCGTCTCGCCCTGCAGCACCATGCATATATGCACGCCCCTCTCGCTGCGCGCTCTGAGCACGGCTGCACTGTGCATGCATGCCCATGCCGGTGTCTATTTCTGAGGCGGCTGAAATATCGGCTGCACGGTGCATGCATGCATGCCCATGTGGGTGAGTCGAAGCTCCTCTGCTCTGCGTCAATGCGGTTGGGTGGGTGGAGAGCTGGCAGTAGCAAGTATTCGTCACGCACGTGTATAACCCCTCCCTCCTCTGCATGCCCCCCCACTGCTCTGAAGCATCGCCTGACGGACAGCAGTGTAGGGGGGCGGACGCCACACTGGTTTTAAGGCACCTTGAAACACCATGCCTCCTTGAACTTCTCTCTCCCCTCCTCTTCTCCCCCGTCTTGCCCCCTCCTCTCCTCCCCCCACTGCCCCACACCAGGTGGTGCAGCACCGTCTGAAGGCGGAGTACGGCGTGGACGCCGCACTGGAACCGCTGGGGTTCACTGCCGCCCGATGGGTGTCTGGCGGCTGGGAGGCCGTGGAGAAGGCTGGCCGCCTCTTCAACTGCGCTGTCGTTCGGGACCAGGTCGGGGGGGGGGGGAAAGGGGGAGGAGGGGGCGGGCGGGAGGGACATGTGTATGATTGGTTTGGTGTGGGGTGTGTGGGTGCGGGGTTGTTCTTTATGGGTATGTGGTTGCACTCCGTTTCATGTGCCTGTGGTAACATTGTGAACGTGTTGTTGGGCACATCCTGTCTGCCCCATCCTTTGCCCATCCGGTCTGCCCCATCCTTTGCCCATCCTTTGCCCATCCTGTGCCCATCCTGCCCTCTGCCCGGCCTCTGTACGTGCAGTGGGAGCGGCCAGTGCTGCTGTTCCGCAACGAGTGGAACATCGGCCAGCTGCAGGTGGGTGCCCGAACATGCGTACACATGCGTACATATGCTTACATATGCACATTTTCACAAGCGTGCAACACAAGCACGTTCATACACAAGCACGTGCATACACAAGCACGTTCATGCACAAGCACTTCCACACATGCACGCATGCATGCACGTTCAGGTACACCGACCTTCTCATATGCACACTCACATGTTCCCCAAGGACATGTTCCTTCCACCCTCCTTCCACCTTCCTCCTCTTGTCACTTGGAGTAGCATCGCTCCTAGCAGTTCTCCGAGGTTGGAGTGTGTTATGATCACTCCCTTTCTCGCTCTCCCCCCTCCTCCCACCAGGCCACCAGGGAGTTCACTCGAAGAGAGGGGAGCTCACACTGCATGCGCTATCCGCTTTTTCAGGCGCCCCTCAAATTCGACTCCCTTCCCCCCCTCCACTTTTTCCCACCAGGGCGACCACCCAGAGATAGGGGAGCTCACACCCTATGCACTTCCTCCACAGCAAGACTTGACCACAGGAGGGCGCCGCTGACTATGCGGTGCCATGTGATGCCACGCCAGAGAGCATGCTGTGTTTTGTTATGGCACTCAAGTGATAGTATAGTACCAGTGACTACAGCCACAGTATACATGGTAGCTATGTTGGACCTTCAGTTCAGTGCCTGCTCCTTATCTATGGGGTGTCTGTCTCTCCCGTGTGACTCATAGGCATGCCTAACTCTACTTTGTGCCACTGGACTGGATTAGTACCGTAGTTCCTGCAGGGTCAATAAAAGATGCTAGGTTAGGGGGTGCCTGTTTTGGTACGGGCTTTTATATATGGCAGGAGGCAATGCAGAAGGGAGCATGCTGCAAGTTCGTAGCGTAATCTGGAGCGGTTCCTTCCTCCTCTCTTGCAGCACATGTCTAGTCCAGTCACACTCTGCCTAAATGACGTACGCGTCGTTGGTTCCATCACCTGCCGTCACTGTTCCCTAGTGGTTTTGACATGAAGTGGATTCACTTGCTGTTTCCCTAACCTCGTGCCAAAGCCTGTGGGCGTCTCCTCTCTGTCTGGATTCTGGAACTACTGTACTCGAATCTCGGCTCGGAGCGCAGTTTCCCGTTTTGACCAGGGCGCAATTTGGCGGTGGCCAAGCGACGGATCAGAAGTCTCAAAACATCGGAACACAGAATATTTGCTTCCTTCTCTCGCTCTCTCGCTCTCTCGCTCGTCCCTAGGCTTGAGCACCCAGCCAGCCATGGAGGTGCGGCTGGCACCCACGCTCAACGACCCGTTGAAGGAGCATAAGCTGGTGAGGGGGCATGTGCTGCATATGCTGAAACGCGGCAGCGAGCGGGGGAGAGATGGGGAGAGGGCGTGAGAGATGTGAAAGGGCGCGGGTAATCGGGAAAGGGCGCGAGAGAGAGGAGGGGTGGGGGGGGGGAGGCGGAGCGAGCCGGGGTGCGAGAGCGAGCGTTGAGGCGCATTTAAGCGGAGAGGGGATTGGTTCTCTACGTGCGGGCATCAATAGTGATCTGGAGGGTGGAAAGATGCCCAGCCGTTGAGTTCAGACACGCGTCAATTGCTGCATACCATGTATACTAGCGCACCCCATGCCTCTAGCCCTATCTCGGTCGATTTGGCCCCCCTCCTAAAACCCCAAACCCAGTCTGCGTTCCCCCCACTCTCCTCTGTTTCCGCCTCCCTCCCCGTTGTCCTCCCCCTCCCCCCCCCCCCGCCTCCCCCCTCCCTTGTCGTCCTTTCTGGAATTCCCCGACTTTTCACATGGTCCCCTCCCCATCTCCCTAAACCCCCAATATACACCCCCCCCCCTCCCCCCTCCCCCCCCAACAACCCCCTCTCCCCCCCCTCCCCTCCTTCCTTCCTGCGCCGTCCTCCATCTCCCGCAGGCTCTGCTGCACGCCCTGCGCCTGCCGCTGGAGGTGGCGTTGGGAGAGGCGGGGGGCGGACAGGCGGAAGGGGGGGCGGGGAGGGGCGGGAGAGGGGACGACGGGGAAGAATCGGGGGAGGGGGGCGTGGCGGATGGGGCGCTGGAGCGCCTGTTGATGTGCGCGCGCGTGCTGGAATTGAACCAAGTCCGTTCCACTTTTTGTACCGTGCTCCTACCTCTTACCTACTTCCTACCTCCTACCTCCTACCTCCTATTTTGTACCATTCCACCATTCCTCACACGCACACTCCCACCGTACATCACCTCACCTCACACCCGCCGTGGGTTGTTCTTCAAGTCACCCCGCTTCTCCCACGCTTTCACCCTATCCATCTCGACTCCATGCCATGCCACTTCCCGTCCTCCTCCCCTTCTCACACCACAGTTCCCCGTTTCCCTCCCCCCTCTCCCCTCTCCCCTCCATCCTCTCCCCTCACCCTTCACTTTCTCACCCTTTCTGCTTGTCTTCTCCGCACCCATCCCCTCCCCCCGAATGGGCTCCCCCCCATGCCTCCCTCCCACCCCATGCTCCCCCCCCTCCTCATGCCCCGTGCCCCGCCCCCAGGAGGAGTTCTATTTCCTCGCATCCGACCCCCGCGCCCCTCTCTCCCCCCGCAACGAGCTCCAATCGCTGCGCCGCATTCGCCTCGCCCTCCTCCCCCTCCTCCACCCCCCCGCCGTCCCCGCCCCCCTTCCCCCCTTCGCGCCACTCCCATGTGCGCCAGAAATGGGGAAGGAGGGGAAGGAGGGCCGGGCAGTGGCGGACGAAATGATGGGGGAGGTGATGAGGCGGCTGGGGGGACTAGGGGGGGAGACGGGGGGGGAGATTGCTGGGCAGATAGGGGGGGAGACAGCGGGGGGGACAGTGGGGGAGGGAGGGAAGGGGGAGAGGCGCAGTGACGGGGATGTCGGGGGAGAAGAGGGGCAAGGAGAAGAAGAGAGGCGGCTGATGGAATGGGCACGAGCTCATGGCGCCATGTGCGAGCTGGATGCTCGAGGTGAGAATGGAGGAGGAGCAGGGGAGGGAGATGCGTGGGGAGGGGAGGATGGGGGGAGGGCGAGGGGTCAGGGTTGGGGATGGATGGGGGGTTGAGAGAGGGAGATGGGGAGGGGAGAAAGGGCGGAGAAGTGAGAAGGAAAGCCTTACAGTGGTCACGCATGCTGGTTCAGGGTCTTGCGGTTTAGGGCTCCGTGGTTTCGTTCGGAGTATCATGTGTGGATGAGAGGGGCAAGCGTGTCGCTCTAGCAGTGTTGCCATCTTGCCACGCGTGCTTCCATGCAGCTATGGCACAAAAACTCGTTTTCCGCTATCCCCCACCATCCTAGATTCCCATCCCCCATCCTTTATTCTCCGTCCCTCGTCCCCCATCCCTCATCCCCCATCCCTCGTCCCCCATCCCTCGTCCCCCATCCCTCGTCCCCCATCCCTCGTCCCCCATCCCCCGTACCCTATACCCCATTCCCCGTCCCTTTCCCCCCATCCCCCATCCCCCGTACTGCACACCCCATTCCCCTGGCCAGACTTCCCAGAGACAGGCCGTGGCATGGCAGCGAGGCGGGACATGGCAGTGGGGCAGACCGCCCTCTCCATCCCGCTGTCTCTCATCATCTCTCCCCACACCGCGCTCGCCTCGCCCCTGGTGCGCTGCCCTGCACGCGTGTTTTCTCTACTCTGGAGGGCTAGTTTTACTGTGGGAGGCACACAGCCCTCCCTCTCAACCCCCCAGCCTCTCCGCTCCCCGCTCTCTCCACCCCCTTGTCCGCTCGTTATCTCACCGCTCACCGCCCCCGTAGCCGGCGGTGCCCTGCACGCACGCTTGCTTGCACACGCAGAGGCTTGTTCAATCGGATGTGGCCGATGCTCTGCTTGCACGCTTGCTCGCAGGCACAGGGGGCGTAGGAGGAGAGGGGTGGGGTGGGGAGAAGAAAGTAAGGTGAGACGAAGAGGGGACTGCTTTTGATTCGACCCAAAAGGTGTGGGGAGAAGAAAGAAGGCGAGGAGAAGAAGAGGGGAGAGGAAGAGAGGAGAAACGTGAGAAGCATGCACTCAGGTTTCATGTTTGCGCTCCCTACCCGCGATGCCATTTGCATGGGCTTACATGGGCATGGCACGGCATGGCTCCGTATGGCCATGGCATGGCATGTCACCGTATGGTCATGGCATGGCATGGCATGGCATGGTGTGGCGTGGCATAGCATGGCATGGCGGCATGGCGTGGCGCGGCATGGCATGGCATGATGTGGGCATGATATGGGCATGGCACGGATGGCATGGCATGGCAGGGTCAAGCTCTGCGATGCGGAGAGGCCAGAAAGGAGGGGAAGGAACTGGAAGCAGAGAGTGGTGTGGATCTGGGCAGCATCAGCGATGAGAGCATCGCTCTGCTGTGGACCATACAGCAGCGCCATGACCCCTCCTCCTTCTATGCCCCCTTCTTCAACGCCCTGCCTGCCACCGTCACCACAGGTGACACCACTACCCAAGGTGCAGAATTTCGGCAAGCCGTTTTTTTCCATGGTTTTTTTAATCGTTTTTTTCTTTTTTTCTTTTTTCTTTCCGGTGATTTTAGGGGAAAAACGCCGAATTTTTAATAGAGCGTTTCAGTTTTTTCCCGTTTTAAAGAGGTCCTACACGTCCACCAGATCCGCACATTTCGTCCACCAATACGCGAGCTCCGCGCATTTTTGTGGGCGAAATGTCAGATCCGCACACTTCGTCCACCAAAAACGTGAACTCTGGCACATTTCAGCAGGCGAAATGCCAGATCCACACGTTTCGCCGGTATTTTTTCCCCCTTTTTTTGGAAAAAAACGGCCGATTTTTTTTACCAATGAAAGGAAATATTTTTCAACCGTTTTAATTCGTACTATACGGCCGTTTAATTCGATACCGTACCATACGGTCTCAAAAGGAAAAAAACGGCCGTATGTTGTATCTTGCCGCTACCTGCAAAGGTGATACCACTACCTGCACAGGCGCTAGATCCCTCGTCCCATGTGCTACCTCCATGTGCTACCTCCATGTGACATGCCATTGATCCGCTTGGCACTGGCCCCATCCCATGTTCCAGTATTCTCTCACTCAGTCACCTCCCCTGTTTCCCCCCTCTGTCAGCGCTGTCATGGCCAGTGGCAGCAGTGGGTGCAGTGCAGGGAACGCTGCTGCACACACACATAGAGCTAGCCAGGCAGGTGGGTGGGTGGGTGGGTGGGTAGGTGGGTGCCTCTCACATTGCTGTAGTTGCTTTTGAGGCGCCTCAAGAATTACTTGCACTCTGGGCTTGCTGCTCTGCACTTCCCCATCAGCCTCGCCAAACCAACCATGCCTTCTGTGCCTGCCAGCTGCCACAGCCTCCCAACCGTCGTCTTCACTCTTCCCACTCCTCAACCAAGCGTCCTATTTCCCACTCTTCAGCCTCTTCCCACACCTCCCCTCATCCCTTCCAATTCACACTATTTCCTCCCTATTTTCCCCTCTTCCCTCACCTCCCCCACTCCCTCCCATCCCCCCCCGCAGCACATACGCGCAGAGTACCACTCTCTCTTCCCTGCCCTCTCCCGCCGCTTCCCCTCCCTCTTCCCCCGCTCGCTCTTCTCCCTCTCTGCCTTCACGGCAGCAGCAGAGCTCTGGTACGCATATGCCATGCGCATAGCGCTGCCCTCTACTGCCTTACCACACGCTGCACCATCAGCAGCTCCGCCATCAGCAGCACCAGCCCCATTGGGCCTGCAGGGTGCGGGCGCTGCTGGTGGGGCATGGCAGATGGGAGGAGGAGGTGCGGGAGAGGTGCCGGAGAGGACCGCGCTTCCATGCCTGGTGCCGCTGGCATCGCTGCTTAACCACTCGGTGAGTCAAATGGCTGGATGCTTGAGATCTATGGTCCAGAGCGAGGTAGGCTACGGCAGGGACCTTAAAGCAGGCTGAGCGCAGGGATGCAAGGAATACCTACGTTCTTCCGTGCCTGGTGCCTCCGGCATCGCTGCTCAACCACTTGGTGAGACAAATGGCTGCACTCTGTGGCTCAGAGCAAGGTAGGTTACACCAGCAGCGATCTTAAAGCAAACTAAGCGCAGCAGGATGGGGAGAGACGCAAGGAAGACCACCGTGCTTCCATCCATGTCTGGTGCCACTGGCATCTCTGCTGAACCACTCAGTGTGAGACAGATGGCTGCCTGCAATGATTGCAATCTAGGCCTAAGAGGGAGGTAGGTTGCAGCAGGTTGAGCGGAGCAGAGGGGTTCATGGAAGGGTTTCGAAGGGCCTCAACGGGCTTCAACGGGCCTCAAAGGGCCTCCCCGTTCTCTTGCTAGCAACAGTCAAGGAGGACTCTTCACACCATTTGAGCGATGTGCACTCCATTTGTTCTTGCTTCTCTCCTGTCCCCTGGCCCTGCACAGCTATACCCTCACATCACCCACTTCAGCACGCTCCAAGCCTCTCCCCACTCCTCCACCCCCCTCGCCTCCTCCTACCCCTCCTCCTCTTTTTCTCCCTCCTCCTCCCCTCCCCTTGAACCCACCTCATTCCGTCTGAACCTTCGGCTGGAGCGGCCAGTGCGGGCGGGGCAGCAGTGCTACCTGTCATACGGGCCGCTGCCCTCGCACGACCTCGCACTCTTCTATGGCTTCCTGCTGCCCTGCCGCAACCCATATGACTGCTTCCCCATCGGTGAGTGGCTTGCTGCAGGTGGTTTGACCACATGGGTTGACGCCGCAACCCCTACGGCCACATCGGTTGCCCATGGGTTAACGCCGCAACCCCTGCGACTGCTTCTGCACACATATTTTGAAGGTTGTACCATTCTTATCAGCTCGCTTCGTAGTGTTTGTTCGTGTTTGGTTTATTTGTTTGTGTAACATAGTGTTGATTTCGTGAATACGCTGGTATCCTTTTTTCGTCCTGGGTTTGAAGCGCCCGCATGTTTCGCCTGGCTAGTCATCAACTGTTCGCCTGGTCTCCCGCTCGTTTTTTCTGAACTCGGCGTGCTTAGGACAGACAAAATCTTCACGCTTTCATAGTATTAGATTCTCACCCCTTCCAAACCCCAATCCTCCCCCCCCTCCCTTTCCCCCGCCGTCCATCCACATTCCTGCTGTCTTCCCTCCCTTATCCGGTACTCTTGTACAGGATCTATCCTCATTCATTCCTGCATATCCACCTTACCTTCCCTACCCTTGTGGGCATTTTCATGCACCTCCTCCCCTCACTTCCCACCCTCACTCCCACCGTGCCCCCCTGCTGTCCTCCTCGCTTTCATGCATCTGCTGCTGGCATGATGGGTTCACGATGGCATACTGATTGGTACGGGGATGGCGTGGTGCATGGGGTGGCAGACCTTGACTTTTCTGTGGAGGAGGAAGAAGGAGAAGCAGAAGAGGAGGACGAGGATGGAGACAAGGGCGAAGCAGTGCCGCCAGAGGAGTTGGTGGTGGAAGGGGAGGGGGATAGGTTGGATGAAGACAGGGTGACGTGTGGCCAAGCAAGGCAACTCGCAGCACAGGGTGCATGCAGGGAGGAGGACATGAGCCATAGTAGTGAGGGCTGTGGAGGGGAAGCAGCAGCAGCAGCAGCAGCACACGGCTCTGCAGGGGGTGCCACTGCAAAGAAACCACGACGCACGGATGCTACCAGCGGGGCTGCTGCCAGTAATGGTGCTTCTGCCGATACTGCCGACGCTGCCGATGCTGAGAGAAATGCGGGTGCTGCCAACACAGACAGAGACAGAGACACAGACACAGGAGATGCAGCAGAGGGAGGGCAGGGGGGGGAGCGATCAGCAGCATCAGATAGGGGGGAGCAGGTGGGGCTGCCGCTGCCCCAGCACCTGCTGCGGGCATGTGACCTCAGAGTGACGGCTGATGGCGCTGTGGCCGAGAGGGGGGAGGAGGCGAGTGCGGAGGACATGGTTGGGAATGAGTGTGTGATGAGAGGGGGGGATGGGGAGGACGGGGAGGATGGAGAGGATGGGGAGGATGGGGAGGATGGGGAGTGTGCGGGGGCAGGGGAGTCTGGGAGTGAGGATGTGTGGGGAGCGCTGCCTTGGCGGCTGTGTGTGGGGCTGTGTGGTGCTGTGGGGGGTAGCAGAGAAGAGAGGAGAGTGTGGAGGTCTGATGCTCTCCTGCCACCCCGTGCACATGTATGTTCTGGCGTGCATGTGTGCTACCCCATGCGCATGCATGTTACCCCATGCGCATTGTCGTTACCTATACACATGTATGTTACCTCATCCTCGCGCATGTTGCCTCATCCAATTGTCTGTTACCCCATACACTCACGTAACATGCAAGTACCCGACATACCGCCACTACTGTAATTCTCAAACCCACATGTGTCTCCCATGATTTCACCTCCTGTATGTATGCACGCATCCCCTTATCATCCCCCTTCTCATGCTCCGTCTCCTTGCTCTCCCCATGCCCATGCCAACCCTCCCATCCTCCTCTCATCCAATTGTCTCTTCTCCCTACCTCGTGACAAGCCCTCCACATTCATCCTCAAACCTCGTCCACCTCCCCTCCCCCTCTCTGCTGCTCTATCCACGCTGCTAGTCCTTTGAGTTGACTCACAACTCACCTCGCTTTGGCCCTCTCCCTTTCCCTCCCTCCCCCTGTCCTTCCCAGATCCCCCATGCAGTGCGTGCTGCTGCTCTCTCCACGCTGCTAGACCTGGTGGCCACCCTGCTGGCACAGGAGCAAGGGCAGGGAGAGGGGCAGGAAGACGACCACAGGGAGGGGGAAGGGCAAGGGGGGGAGCAAGAGACATGGGAGGAGTGCACGAGTGGGGAGGTGGGGGCATGTGTGGCTGTGGCTCAGCGGTACCGAGCGGAGCAAGAGCAGCTGCTATACTCGGTCAGAAATGAGTGTGTCAGGTTGCTCTCGCTGCTGTGACTCTACACAAGTCCCACCCTTGCGAGGCCTCATTGGAAGGGTGTTATGAATGGAACTGCCGAGTAGCGCGGAGGGCAATGGCGAAATTGTGAACGAGTGAAGGACAATAAAATGAAACACAATTCAATATATAGGAAACCTAGGGTAATCCTGAGGATCAGAAGGTTCTGGAAAAGTATCGAAGGGCCTCGATGTGTCGAAGCGAGGTCCGGAAAGGCCCAGGAGGCTCGAACTGAAAGGTCTGGAACCCTATCGCTGGTTCGGGACTGTTCGAGTTGTACGCCCTGTAGCAAGCCTCAATAAGGAATTACTAATTGATTGGTGTGCCTTTCGAAGGGTATTGTTGTCACACATTTGTATATGATGCCGTAGACTAGATAGGGGCATGCCTTAGAGAGTACAACATATTACCGTCAAAACTATTGTGTACCCTTCATTCTAGTTCATTCTGCTACTCTGAGATGGTATCAGCTTAGGTTAGGTCCGCCCACCCGCTTCCCTAGCCCTAGCCTTAGCGCCCCGCCATCCTTAGCGCCCCGCTGGTCCCTTGCGCGCCCCGCCAGACCCTCGCGCCCCGTCGGCCCTTCGCGCCCCACCGGCCCCTCGCGCCCCGCTGGTCCCTTGCGCGCCCCGCTCGGCCCTCGCGCCCCGCTGGTCCCTTACGCGCCCTGCCCGGCCCTCGTGCCCCGCTGGTCCTTCGCGCCCTGCGGGCCCTCTTGCGCGCCCTGCCAGGCCCTTCGAGCCCCGTCAGGCCCTTCGCGCCCCGCCATCCCTTTCGCGCCCCGCTGGCCCATCGCGTTCCGCTGGCCCTTTCGCGCCCCGCCAGCCCTTTCGCGCCCCGCCGGCCCGTCGTGCTCCGCTGGCTCCTCACGGCCCGCCAGCCTCCTCGCGCCCCTGCTGGCCCCTTGCACCCCAGCCGGTCCTTCTAAGAGTCGCTGTGCCGCAGTGTAGCTATGCCGCTGTGCCGCTGTGTCGCTGTGCCGCCTTGCCGCCGTGGAGTCAGGTTGCTGAGGTTGTACGATGGCGGACTTTGTACTCCGGCTGGACGCGGAGGGGCACCCGATCGACTTCGCCGCCTGGCTTGTCGATCTACGTCGTCACCTCACAGATCAGCGCCAGGATGGGCACTACCTGGCTGTGCATGTTGATGGCTTGATCCCCTCCCTGCTGACCCCACCACTGCTCAGCGTGAGGCCTTTTCTATTGCTGTGCTTGCTCGCGCTGTCTGGGAATCGCTCGATGCCGTCACGCAGCTTGCCATTAGTCATGCTCTTCCCCTGTCCGAGCATCCGTGCTTCACTACTGTCGCGAACGCCAAGGACTTCTTAGATGCCGTAGTTGCGTGCTACTCCACGCCTGCCTCTGCTTCTGGTGGCCACATGATCCTCCCCATGTTGTTCCCTAATCTCATCGCCTTCCCCACTGTAGCTGACCTAGCCACTCAACTCCGTGCACTAGAGGCTAGCTACCGCGCCGCTAGCACTGATGCCCAGCTCACTGCCTTTCCCCCTCCGTTCTGCTCTACCCTGTACCTCATTGTCATGCGCCTTCCGGACCGCTTAGCCATTGCCCGCAACCACTTCCTTAGTCAGCACCCAGGTGACCTCACCCTTACCGCCTTTGTCACCGCCCTATCTGAGATAGAGACTTGCCAACGCACTATCCCTAAGTCAAGCGGTACTGTGGCAGCCCTTATCTTTCAGGGATGTGCGCCCTCCCAGTGCACGTACGCTGACGTCTGTGCCGCTGTCGCCGCGACAGCCGCGCCAGCGTCGAGGCCGTCGGGGCACCAAAGGGAGGCATGGTGGCGGGGGTGGTGGGGGTGGTGGAGGTGGTGGCGGTGGCGGCGGGGACAGTGGGTCTGACGAGGGGACCGGGGCTGGTGCCGAGGAGCAGCAGCAGCAGCAGTCATGGGCCCTCCTCCCGCCGGGGTGGCCGGGTGCCTTCAGCGGTGGTGGCCGCGTTGGCGGCCCTCGCAGCTCGGCGTCGGCCGGCAGCTTTGATGCTGGGGGCTGCCAGTACCAGCTCCAAACCGCCCCCCTCCGCGACACTATGTGTCGCCGCCCGCACTCGACTGCTCGCTGCTTCCGCCGCCTCGATGACCTCTTTCGTCGCCGCTTCGGCCCGGCGCCGGACCTCCCTGGCTGGGCCAGTCTGCTGCGCCACGGTGTGCCTGACTCTGAGTTAGATTTGGATTAGAGTTCTTCTGCCCTGCATTCCCTGTATGCTGATGCTTCTAGTGTGCTCGGATCTTATTACCGTGTGTTGCCTAGTTTAGGTGTGTTACCTGTGTGTAGTACAGACTCCCCTGCTGCGTCAGGCGTAGGACCTTCTGCCTTGTCTAGTCTAGGCTTCACGCTCGCTCCTCCACCGGCCACAGCTTCCGCTTCGCTATTCTTTACGCTTGACTCTGGTGCGTCTGCCTGCTTCTTCCGCGACCACGCCACGCTGACGTTGCTTGCAACGCCTGCCACTGTCGCACTTGCTGACACCTCCTCCGGTCCTGTCGTTGCCCGTAGCTAAACTACCCTTCTCTGTCCAGCGGTTCCCTCGGGTTCTCTTACAGATCTGCACATCCCTTTGTTCTTAAGGAACCTAGTTGGTGTGGGCTGTCTTCAGGACCTAGGCGTCACCACTACGTTCCCTAGTCACGAGCGGTACGCTGTCTGTACCGAGGCCGCCTCGGGACTTTGCTTCCCCCCCAGTTGGCGCGTCCTCCCCGGGTCCTGCGTCTACCCAGGTCGATGCGGCTTCCTCGTGTCGGTCGCTCACTAACCCCTCGCTTCTGTGGCACCAACGCCTAGGTCACCCCACACTCCTGCGTCTGCATCACATGTCCCACCACGGTCTCATCCTAGGCCTCCCTACGTTGCTCCCTGCCCTCCCTCCCTCGCCTTCGCCGATATGCACTCCCTGCGTCGAAGGCCGGCTGCGCCGTGCCCCTCATTCCTCCTCACTTTGCCCTGCCACCGCACCACTTCAGACCCTGCACGTGGACGTCCGGGGACCAATCCCCGTCCTTGGGCCGCGTCGAGAGCGCTACTTTCTCATGCTCATCGACGACTACACGCGCTACACCATGGTGTTTCCTCTGGAGCGGAAGGCCGACGTGCCTGACGTTCTTTCCCGTGGGGTCGTAGCTGCGCGTGTCCTCCGCGGTCTCCCTATGCTGTGTCTCCACTCCGACCGTGACGGCGAGTTCGCCTCCGGTCGGCTTGGACAATTCTGTCGTGCGGAGGGCATCACCCAGACGTACATCCTACCGGACTCCCCGCAGCAGAATGGGGTCGTTGAGCAACGCATCGGTTTGGTCATGGAGGTGGCTCGGTCTTCCATGATCCATGCTAGTGCACCCCATTTTCTGTGGCCGTTCGCCGTTCGCTACGCCGCTCACCAGCTTAACCTGCGGCCGCACTCCCAGCGGCTGCAGGTTTTGCCGACCTGTTTTTGGACCGGATTCCCTGGTGACACATCCGCGTTCCACGTCTGGGGCTGCCTTGCTCACGTTCGTGCCTTTGGCACGGACAAGCTCACTGCCCGCACTGTCCCATGTGTCTTCCTTGGTTTCCCCCTTGACTCGTCGGCACTGGCACTTTTACCACCCACCGACTCACCGCGTGACGTCACTTTCGACGAGTCGGTCTCCTTATACCACCGCTTTCCCCACAGACGTCTCCCGTTTTCCCCGCCCCTGTTTCTGGTTCCCACTCCCACGATAGCCCCTGCTCCACTTCGTCCCCGTCCTGCTCCATCTGGTGTGTCGCACGTCACTCCCCTTCCGTCGGTTGTCCCAGTCGAGGAGTCGGCTGACTCAGGTGGCCCCGCAGCACAGTTCTCGCCACCTGTTCCTCCCGCGATGTCCCCTCCTCCGTCATCGAAGCAGCCGCTGTCGTCTCCGCCGCAGCGGCAGCAGCCGTCCGCGTGCTATGTGGGTGCGGATGTTCTGGAGGGTGCTGGCTCTGGGGGTGCTCATCCTGGGGTTCCAGTCGTGGCTTGTCCCGGCACCGGTGCTGGAGGGGGTTCTCATATTGGGGGTGCTGGAGTGGAGCATTCCGGAGGTAGCCGTGCTGCAGCTGGAGGTTCTGGTGTCGGCATGTAGCAGCAGTAGCAGTCGCCGCCGGTGTCCGCTATTCGCCTGCTCGGCCTTCCCTCCCCTCACCACTCGGCCTCCTCTGGCTGTCTACGGCCCTGTGTTTCCTCCGCCGGACTCGTCCCTGGCTTGTTTCCCCCCTCATTCTCCTCATGTGACTCCTCCTGTGTTTCCTGACCCGACGCCTCCATCCCACTTCTAGTCTTGCAGTCCCTCTCATGCTCGTCCTATCTCTCCTATCCAGCGCTCTCACCACATGTTGCTTCGTTCCCACGCGTCTTGTCCTCCCCTCCTCCCCTCGCCTCCTCTGTCGTCGCTCATTGTCGCTCCGCCTCCTCTATTTGACTACCCTCATGCTGTTCGTCCTCTTGTTCCTCGGGTCTTTGCCTCCCTCGTTACCAACCCGTCTGTTCCTGTCTCGAGTCTTGACGCTCTTGTCGCTACTGTCGCTGACTTCGCCTCTACCTGCCGCCTTGACTACGCCACGGCTCTGGTCTATGGCCCTCCCTGCCCTCCGTCCGTCGAGGGTGCTCCTGCCCTTGGCAGTCACGTCCTAGAGGACAGCCAGTACGAGCTAGCTTTCCTGTCCGAGGCCGCTCCCCATCTCTATTCCATGCTGCTAGTCCCTGATGGTGAACCAGACGCCCTTGAAATCTCGACCCCTCGCACTTACGCTGAGGCGACCTCGGGACCCTGGGCCTCTCAGTGGATAGCTGCCATCGACACGGAGATGGCATCTTGGAGATCCACTGGCACTTTCGTCAACGCAGTCCCCCAGGGGTGAACGTAGTCGATGGCCAGTGGCTCTCCAAGGTGAAGCGCCCCCCTAGAGAGCCGCCTGTGTTCAAGGTGCACTACGTGGCAAGAGGCTTCAGTCAGCGCGAGGGTGTGGACTTCTTTCAGACCTTCGCCCCGACCTTGAAGATGACTACGCTTCAGGCATTGCTCCACGCAGCAGCACAGCGTAACGACAAGTTACACTCCCTTGACTTCTCCACAGCGTTTCTTCTGGGCAGTCTATATGAGCAGGTCAACCTACGCTGTCCATAGGGCTTCACTAGTACCTTCCCTCTTGGAACCCAGTGGCTCCTCGGGCGCCTGGTCTACGACTTGCGACAGGCGCCCTGCGAGTGGCACGACACGCTTCATGCTATGCTAGCTGACCTACAGTTTTCCCGTTGTCTGCATTCCCCTCTCTCTTCGTTCGTACCTGCCAGACTCCGTTCTACATCATTGCCTATGTAGGCAACCTGGTCTTCGCTATTGCAGACAGAGACGCACTAGCCTGCGTGAAGGCTGAGCTGCTGAGAAGACACACCTGCACTGACCTAGGAGAGCTGC